AGAACAGAATATTCCCACTCCTCCAAACTATATTTAATAATTAGTATTATGTACTTTTTACGAAGTAGGTTAACTTACATCAGCTTCGCACGTAATATTCGCGCCTGACCATAATTGTAACACTTGACCAGGAGTCTAGAATTATAATATACAGTTAGTGTATTCTTATATATTTATAAATATCAAGGTATGAAAAGCCAGTTACCATTTCGTCCGGGTTAATTTCCGGGTGGTCATACGGGCCCTCAAGCGGCTGCGTTGGCTGCGGCTTCGCGACGGCATTCTCAACAGGTCCGGCGAGGCAGACGGCCGCGAAAGAAAAAATGAGACCTAGAGAGTATTTCATTTTAATACTTGTAGAAATTTGTACAATGTCTTGACAAGAAAGAAATACTAGATGGTAGGTAAATAGTAATAGAGTAGCTTTGAAGAAAAAGTCGGGGGAATACCTGCTATTTATCGAGTAGAAGATGCCATGCTAGAAATGTGTACTCACACCCGTAATGCAAGGACATTTGTAAAATTTCATTCGACCTGAAGGGCAACAACCCACACAGCCCGAGAATCATCCACATCGGCCTGAGAATATCGGCTACACTCTCGCCTCTATTAATAAGCTGCTAATAGCAGAGTCCACTCGGATCCGGCACAAAGGCAATTGTTGGCTCGCCGACAAAGAGCGCCCGCTGTGGGAAGCTGGGCATTTTGGCATTATATATAAATCTCTGTATTAATATAATACCTCAATTAAACTATAAAAAAGAGTATTATGCGCCTTCCATACGAGTTAAGCGCCTACCATACGAGTTGAGGGGCGCCCAGCTCCACACAATATTATGCTTATTTTTTAACTTCCGTGCGGGGAACGGGGGATGACACCGAATACAGCTAGTAAGTAATTATGCCATGTAACAGCCCCTTTCTCGAAGCTCTCTTCCCATTGTTCTGTTTCTCTCCCTTTCTTATTTTTCAATATATCAACCGTGGGTGAGCCTCAAAGCGCAACTTGGGAAGACGAATCGGCCAGACTGACAAAAGCAGACCACTTGTTATATAAATAGAGCTCTTTTATCAACTAGGCCTTAAGAAAAACCAAGGACCTTTGACACTAAAGACTGTTATTAGATAAATTAAGTCATGATGCTTCAAGCCTTTAGCCCTTATCATATATCCCTGAACATGACGATGCTGCTTGGGAACGCATGCTTGCTAAGATTAGGGAGTAGTTAAGGAAATCACTTGAGGGGAGAGAGGATAAAAAAGATGAGGAGGAGGGAGGAGCAGAGAGCGCTAATAACTGGGAAGGATAAGTGACATTAAGCGAATTTGAGAGCGTAGACTGGATGTATATGAATGTTAGCGAGCACGCGGAACCACAGAGTAACTTACGATGGGCGGGTGATTGGGAAGATTACCGTGTGCGGCCGCCTCTGATGCATTTTGAGGGTGACTTGGAGCATGCTGTGACAAGGGCTCAATAGAGGGCTTGGAGCAATTTACTCAATTCATCTAATAACAGTCTTTGGTATCAAAGGTTCTTAGTTTTTCTTAAGGCCTTAAGAGACCAAAAATATCTATTTATATAAGAAGTTAGTAAGAACTTTCTGCCCTAATCCCGTGACTGTAGCCCTCGTGTAACCAGCTATTTCCGTGTAACACATGCTCCGGACTTTTGGCGCAGGAGCTAGAAAACTTGGAGACACTTAGAATGCTCGACGAACTCTGGGACACGAACTAATATAGTATAAATATTTTGCTGGTTTTTACTGGCCTAATAATAGTAATAGATGTTGTGTATGTATTTTTACTTGCACCTAATAGCAGGCAGTAGGGGGATACTTGGGGAATACAGGTCTCATGTAAAACCCAAGGATTATAGATATAAGCTAGCTAGGTAGAATGCGGAACTTTTGAGTTATTACGTTGTTCTCAGTGTTTGAGTTTTCCCCTGCTCTTTTGTAGTTAGGTAATAAAGAGCTTTAAGACTTTTTAATTACGTGTATAGCTAGGTACGCCTTAATATATTAGGTTTACAGTGTTGCTCATATCTACCCACAGTTAGTAACAGGGTAACGTGTAGGTAGCGTGTGGATTTTGAGCCAATCAAATATAGTATATATACAAAAAGCTCGTTGTAACTAGTCCTACGCACATGTACAAGTAATAACTTACCGTTGTGCTCTGGATGACTTGTTGTATTACCCACCTGGCCTACTTGGCCTGCCTTGCTAAATGGCGGTCGGAGATGATCGGGTTTACAGTAGGGCTGCATCGCTACAAGAACTGTATGGCCGTGCATGATGCGGTGAGGAGGCCTCTCTCAAGGAACCAGACACCTGATATTGGCAGCGGGCATGTGGTCTACTTGACTGGTTTCCGATGGTAAGAGACAAATCTCGTCGGTATATATGTAGGTTCGCACCCTCCGGGTACTTTACTCGACTAACGACTTTATTATAGGTATATATATACGTTTTATTGGTTGTTGACAGTGGACTTCTAAATTTAAATAAGCCCTTTAACTTATTTTGAGGTAATTGTTGTAAAGGGGAAAATACATAGCTGCGCTGGAGGCAGTTGTGAAACATGTTATTTAGTGTCTCTGTGTGTCGTGCCCTCGAGCACAATCTCTGGTCATAATCTCCATCTAGTGCGTATATTCTGAATCATTAAAGGACGTTGAATTGTTTGTACGAATTAAATCTGCCTAGTATAACACCCGCAACACGAATCATGGGCATCCGGCCAGTTCTCTGGAGCCTCGCTTTAAGCCTGCAAGCTAGAGTTTGGGACAATATTCTGGTACTACTCAATTTCTCATGTGGGCCGTTAATGATTATGCATTCTCGGCTATAGTCATTCCTGTAGATCATAGTGGGTAACCGGTTCAGTGTAATATTAGCATCATAGAGGCCATACGGAGTAGTGAGACAAGTATGCATTTAAGCGCGGACGTGGCCAGAATCCGAGGTTTCTGCAAATTAGTAAAGGAAGAGGATAACATTACACTGCCGTGCCACACAGCATGATTATTTGGGATGGCTTGGGTAAAATGAGGCTACAACACTTGGGCTGCATGGCCACCTATCGCCGGGTATCAGACGTTGCGCCGAGTGTTGTATGGAAATGGGCGCTTTACAATCATGTCGGCTTATAGCAGTCAAGGACTTCCGCCGCAACCATTGTGCGATTGAAGCTGTGAAACCCTGTTGGGACATGGTACAAAAAGACGTTGCAAACTGCATCAACTTGTCAGGCAAGACCGCATGCGCAGTGTTGGGAGGAGGCCAAGGCTCGGCGAGATACATGCATCGCACTGCACGACACCATCGAGGACCAACAAAGCAATTCTTGGATATCGAAGCCAATTAACTGACGGCTTTATAAACCCTACACGCACATGGAGTCATGTAGAGTGTCACCAAGTTGGAACTTCCATGACCAAGATGATGAGCAGCTCTTTTGGCCTCTGGTGTAACGGTATAGTGAATGGGGAGATGCGGCCACAAACTCGCCACCCTGTATCATTATCTGGGGTAGCTTTCCATCACAGGGGGAAATTCGTCTGCCTAGTCAGGGGCGGGTGGCGATGGGGGCGCCACAAGCCTTTCTGGGTTCGGTGAAGGTGCCTGTTGTCAGGTGCCGTCTATTTAGCATAATAGATCGTTGATGGGATGTACTACTAATCAAGTCCGGTGGTGCCACGCCGCACGTGTTCGAGGTCCCTTTCACATGTAAATGGATAACCTCGTGCTTTGACAGGTAAGCCATGACGTTGGCCATGCGTTGCCGCCAGGGTCGTGAATTGCGTGAGCTGAAACACTTTAAACGTAAGAGTCATCTTTTGACGCGGCAAGTCGACGAAACGCGCAAGACGCACATGCGGACTCGGACACGACGGCTTGTGCAGCTACAGGAGACCTGTCCTGATGTTGAGATTTGGTTTGATGGGCATTGGGGCTCGCTATTACTCGTCATGTCAATCCGTCATGTTCCGTTTGCGGTTGACAGGCTCTCTTCAGGCTCGATAAATTGGGGGAATAGAGACACTCGTGAACTGGAGGGTAAAACTGAAACCCCACCAACCAAACATGAGAAGAATGAACCATTTTTTTTTTCACACGTGAATGGAAGCAGACGCAGGCGACATCGACCCCCGGCGCCACCGAGAGTCCAGCCCACCACTCACGGTGGCTCGCAATCGCAACCATTGCCGGATTAGGAAAGGGAAACACGGGGAGCATCAGCCCACTGGCTCTTTGAGATCTGTGCAATCCGATCCGTCCACATGGCATCGAGGGGCGCGAGACAATGAGGCCAGACCCTGAGGCTGAAAAGTTCAACTGTTTGGTCATGATGGCTGCAAAAGGCGGCTCCTGTCTGCGTCTTGTGCCCGACACCTAACCCAGGCTGTGACAACGTATTCCGCCGGATGGTTCATCACAACGGCAGCAAGCAGGTGGCCAGGTAGAAGCAAGGGCTTGCAAGGGAGGGAGAAGAGTGTTGATGTCCAACGACTCTCCCTGCACATGCCAACCTTGTGCCGCCGCATGTTGGTTCCAGGACGCGAAATACATAGACATGACGCAGCGGGGGGGGGGCGTCAAATCCGGAGACTCTCGCAATCCAATCCGGGGCATCTGGACAAGAAGGCCATTAGCCAAAAACCTGGGGTTGTCGCTTGACGAGAGGCCTGATCCCCTTCACATGTTTTGAGGATGGCAGAGATGGTCCGGCGCTCCGTCCCGCCAGGCGTCTTCTCTCCACAAACGCACCACCAAGTTTAGGTTTACACCTTGTTGAGAGTCAGACTCCAGTGGCGAGTCGCGCATATAATTACGGCCGGGCCGCCGCGTCTCTGCAACTTGAAGCAGAAGAACAACGCCTCACACTGCAGACAAACTCAACACAGCCGTCTGTGAACCAGCTTGCTCCTTTTTTTTTTTTTTTTTTAGCAAGCAAAAGGCATCGGCCCTTGACACAGACACCCTGCGGCCACCATGTCCGACACCAAGCCCAACCCCAAAGACTCCATGAAGTCTACCTGGCGGACCAAGGACCGCCGGCAATGGAACCTCGCCCACTGGTTCTACGAGATGACCGACGTGCATCCCACCAACCTGCACGACGACATCCCCGTGCACCAAAAGTCAGAAAAGGTGCCCTACCTGTCCGACTGGCTGATGCACCGCTGGGTCATCGTCCACGCGGCGCTCCCCCTCGCCCTGCACCAGCTCTACGTCCACTACACGGGCGTCAACCTCACGGCCCTGCAGGCCTTCCTCTTCTACAGCGTCGCCTTCAAGCTCATCGCCATCCGCGAGATCCACATGCTCCGCGCCATGGGCCACCGGCACGGCTTCCTCGACGGCGACGCCCACGAGCGCGACGGCGTGCCCGACGTCGGCGTCTGGAAGGTGATGCGCTCGCTCGTCTCGACGTCCACCTTCCGCCCCGTCTTCACCGTCTTCCTCGCCTACCGCGCGTCCGAGGCCCCCGCCGACATGAGCTGGTGGTGGATGCCGCTCGAGGCCGGGCTCTACGGCATCGTCCTCGACTTCTGGTTCTACTGGTACCACCGCCTGATGCACGAGGTCGGCGGCCTGTGGCAGTTCCACCGCACCCACCACCTCACCAAGCACCCGAACCCGCTGCTGACCCTGTACGCCGACACCGAGCAGGAGATTTTCGACATTGCCGGCATCCCGCTGCTGACCTACTTTTCTATGAAGCTCATGGGCATGCCGATGGGTTTTTACGAGTGGTGGATCTGCCACCAGTACGTTGTGTTTGCGGAGCTGGCTGGCCACAGTGGCCTGCGTCTTCACGCCACGCCTCCGAATGTGCTTACCGTCTTTTTGCGCATGTTTGACGCTGAGCTTATTATCGAGGACCATGACTTGCACCACCGCAAGGGGTGGAAGTCGAGCGGCAACTATGGCAAGCAGACCCGTTTGTGGGACCGCGTCTTTGGCACCTGCAAGGACCGGATTGAGTGTGGCTCGACGAATGTTGATTACGAGAACCAGGCGAGTATGCCTATTTTCTTCTGAGTGCTCATGTGGAGATGCCCGTGCAGAAGGGTTGGAGGTGAAAAAGAAGGCGGCGAGGGCTGGAAGGCCGGCACCTTGGAATTTCCGGTTGGCTCGATTAGATGAAGTTTTTGCGTTGCAATTCCTGTGTTGAGCATAGAAGAGATATCCCCGTTATGAAATGTACGAATAAAAATCTATTATTAAAATGTGTGTACGAGCGTCATTCTATAAATGTGTACTACTTGATCAGTAGATGTCTTCATCTCCACCATGCCTCTCACAGCATCATGGCGGCAAATCCAGCAACAGCCATGGCTCCGGCGCTCAGGCCGTTGACATTGGCGCCGGCAACTACGGCAGAAGTACCGGTGGGCTGGGCACCGGTTGCAGTCTGGACAGCAGGGCAGCCAGCGCCGGTCTTTTCGTCACAGCCGCCCTGGGGCGCCGGCGTCGGGTTACCAGAGCCGCCAGGGTTGCCGTTGCTGCCGCCGTTGCTGCCTCCGTTGCCTCCCGGGTTACCGCCGTTGCTTCCGGGGTTGCCCCCATTACTTCCAGGGTTACCGCCGTTGTTGCCACAGTCCTTTCCATTGCACTCGTTGCCACCGTTATTACCATTATTACCACCGTTGCCTCCGGGGTTGACGCCATTGCCTCCAGGGTTGCCACCGTTGCCGCCATTGTTACCGCAGTCCTTTCCATTACACTCGCTGCCTCCGCCGTTGCCGCCGTTACCCCCAGGATTGCCGCCGTTGCTGCCGCAATCCTCCCCATCGCACCCATGGTCTCCGCCATTGTTACCGCCGCCGTTGCCGCCATGGCCGCAATCCTCACCGCCGGAGCAGACGGGTTGGGCCGTAGGCGTGGCCGTGGGCTTGAACCAGCCGGTCTTGGTCAAGGTGCAAGGGCAGTCTACAGTACGATTTAGCAACATGGTCTCAAGGAAGCAGGGAGAAGGGCCAACGTACTGGTGATGGTAAGAGTAGTAGCCTTGCTGACGGTATAAGTCATGTTGCCAATGGGAATAGTGGTAGGCACCTGACAAGATTAGCACACACAGACCATGGGACATATTGATATGCCGAGTCCAACACATACAGGACAGTAGGTAGTATAAGCAGTGTCGGTGATGGTGACAATCTCGGTGCGGTTCTGAGCCAGGGCAGGGGCGACGAGAGCGCCAGCAGCGAGAACTTGAGAGGCCTTCATGTTGACGAATATTCAAACAATACCTGAGAAAAGGATAAACAAGTATGGATATTAATTTTTCAAAAAGTTTCTTGAGAATAGAACGTCCACTGGAGCGAGTGTATACAGTTGGGAGTAGCAACAAGTGATTGTTCAGCCGGACACAACATCCATCCAGCAGCCATAACACCCCGATTATATAGCCATTTCGAAAACGAGGGGAAAAAATTTCCCAAGGTCCCAATGAATAAGCTTCGTGGAAGGAATGCTGACGGACGGTGAGACCTCGGTGTTCAGCAGCGCAGGTGGAGAGGTGGTGGATGAGCATCCACGATACCAATCCACCGCGAGCCGGGGTGGGATCCGCCCATACTAATACAATATTCTCAAAATAGCCTTGTGAACTGATCCTTTGTGGCACGGGAATCGCCAATAGTCCCGCGGGACGTGTCTGTTTGCGGAACAATGGTAGACGGGGAGGAATTCTGCCCCTGGGCGCGGCATCACAATGTGTGACCGATGCCGCCACGGTTGCGCATCACCCCTGAGTAATATCAAAACGCGCCACGATAATAGCGGCACCAAGATGCTCAAAATAGAATAATAGAATACGCGTCAAATCTGTCTTACAAACAAAGAGAGCCAGTCACGATGGTGTTTGAATTCATCAACGTCGCCTTTTTTGGCCCCGTTGATAAACTGCCAAGTTGGCTCGCCAAGCACGAAAAAGCGCTCCGGACAAGCCGATAGGCTGGAGTAGCTTGGACGGAACCGGCTGCCATTGCAACACTTGCCCGTCTGGATAGTAAAGGCCGCATAACTAGTTACAAAAGAGGCAACACTAACACCTTAACAAGCAACCTAGAAGGGGCCCATCTGCGCGCCATGGAACCTCTCGTTGCACAGGATGACAAGATGCAACATCCTTATCGCCTTGCAGCCTTGGCGTTCAGATCGAATTCTCTAACCAGATGCGCTCGCAGATCGGGAATCTCATGTATTGGTTCTACTTTGCCCGCTGGCCACGGAGCAATCCCATCCACGATTCAGAGCTTTTGCTAGACCACTTTGATTTCCAAGGCACATCCGTATATGGCCGCATATTCACTACTTGCAAGTTAGGAAAACAAAAGGGCTCCACCAGCGCGTCCACGAACTTTTGTTAGTAGACCGGTGCTCCGGCCTTCACCCGATGCGGCATACCGGCGGCTGCCATTCCCTTTAGAGCCATTTCGACGAGAAGCAAGTCTGTTTCTGCGTCATGCGAGGTCATGGTTGATGAGTGCCGTCTTTCCGGGCCAAAATATCTGGAGGTCCAATGATGCATGCGGCTACTGGATAGTGTTCTTTTCTTTGGCTACCGTGGAGTCGAACGTTATTTGCCTAGCTGGACGAAAAGTCAGACAAATATAACACAGCCCTCTGGGGTTAATACCAACCTAGAGCAGTTTCTTTGGGGCTTGCATCATGGGAGACATGTTCAGCGAACTGGAGCTGCTCAACACGGCGAACGGCCTTCCAGCCGCAGTAAGTTGCTTAGCGTGAGTCAGAAAAGTCTGACAACATTGAACTTACACTATCAATGCAATGCAAGGCTCAATGAAAGAATGGCGGCTTCCTATCTTTTACTTGGTAGGCTGCTCGGAAGTTTTCCAAATCATGGTATGAGTCTCGATAGTAGGGTATCTTCACAACACACCAAACTCCTTTGTCACCGGCGGTCCGCCTCCGCATTTTGATCACATATCACACAATAGTTGCATTATTTTGTCTTTGCAAAACTATTGTGTGTAACCCTCAGACACCTCCCGCCTCTGAGCACTGTTCCCAAAGACGCCTTTTACCTAGGTGGCTATGCAACATTGCGGCCGTTGATAGGCCTATAAAAATCAACTGGTGTGAAGATTGACGCACGATACACTTGTCTCCCGGGAGGCAAGATATCGCGCTGATATGCTCCACATGCTAGTCTTTCTGCACAGATTTTCCCGGGACCATCTTCTCCAAGGATGTCAAGTGAGTCTCGGGACTTTCTCATCACTTGGCCGTTTCAGATTGAAAGATTTCTTGCTGAACGATGGTAGGGTTTAATTGAGACGCTGCACAACTGCGGGAGGGTGACAAGGGCAGGGTAACCGGGCTTGGAACGAAAGGTTCAATTCAATCTATAATAATCGACTTTGGGTTATTAAAGCTCCTCAGTTTAGTACCAGGCCTTCAGAGACAGAAGGTCCCTATAAATACAGGAAGTCGGTGAGAGCTGTGTGCCTGAGACATGCCTTGGAGAAGATTGTCCCTGGAAAATCTTTGCAGAAAGTCTAGCGTGTGGGGATATAGCAGCCCTCGCTTGTGACCGACTTCGGGCCTCGTGACCGTTGCCTTTGTTGTTGTGTAACCTTTGTTGGCCTAACGCCCTTTGTTGTGTGCCAACACTGCCAACCGTGTAACAGGGAGAGAGGCGGCAAAGGATCTGGGACTACGCATGCAGCTTCTAATCTGTTGAATGCCCATCTATTCAACCCAACCATTTGCTTCTCTAAATGAAGTAATCCTTGTCCGTGGCCATACTCACCCCTACGAGCTTCACACCTCCCAGCCAAGGGTGTCGGCTGCGGTCAGCGCAACTGCGACAAGGCTGGCAAGAATCTCCCCAAGTAATAGTCCACTTGCAAAGATTATGACATGTCCTGCCTTCCTATCATTACGCCGCCTTGCGTCTAGTAAAGAAAGCCACCAATGGCACGGGTTATAGTGAAAGATAATGTGTCGTATATCCCCACCGCAATGGTAGTTTTTGGATTCAGATACCCAAGGTCCCCGTAGGACAGGACAACTAGTCGCTTGTACCAAGAGTAAATGCAACACTACTAGGAAGGAATTTCTCCCACCACCGGCCTGAGTAGCGAACCTTGACCGCCGCAGGGGCTGCGAATGAATCGACTGATCACCTTGGAACAGTTCAAGGCCGTGCGGCATTGTGTCTTGCTCTGGTGAGATGTTTGGTGTCGGATCCCCGTCCGCGTGAAGGGTCGATGCCCCGTGGTGAAGAGTATGTATCAAATTAGTGGTAACACGGGCTCCAGGCCAAGGTAAATCCTGCCGTTGAATGAAATGCGGCCTCAGCCAAGCAGCAAAGACGAGATCAAAGAAGCACAGAGAAATACTTCAAAGCACCAGCCTCTCCCATGGCAGTATCAACGGTCTGTTGTCCCTTAGTCCAACGAGATACTCCAGAGCGGGAATCACCCCGATAAAGCCTATAGTGACAGGCACGGCGCCAGTAGTCGTCGCCACGCTGACGAGCAAGACATTCTTAGCGGGCAGAAGCGGCACCGTGATGTATCGCAAGACGAGCTTTAATCCTGCGAAGCCTAGCGGACTGGAGGCCATGGACATTTAGATGACGACTCCAATACGAAGGCCGTAGTAGACATTAGAAATAGGAATCAGGACTCCGATGGCAAGGCCAGGTACGACTGCGCGAGGAGCCAGGCCGTCCTCAATGTTGTGAGCCGCCAGCGCGGCAGGCTGGAGTTGGGAGGGGAGTATCAGCTCGGCAGACTTGGCCACCCGTCCTGGCGTCAACCGAAGACTCGTCAAGCTTTAGCCGCTCATACACCTGGGAATGCAAAGAGAGTCGTGGTGTCTTGTGCAAAGCTGATATTTGTCTGCCCGAGGTGGCATGGCACATGCACTGGCTGAAAGAAGCAGTTCAACGGTCTGGTGGCCGATTTCGCTCGCATCCTTACTGCGCCACTAGCAAGAGCCGAAATTCGTGAACCATCTAGTGCAAGATATTGGTTTAGTAAACCAGGGCTAGAACGATGACCTTGGGTGAGGTGTTTTGCATCTTCATTAGGCGAGCGGCTGTCATCAAGGTCCGGGTATGGTGGGGTTATATATACCATTGATTACATTTTATGAGAAAATAATACCCAAAGATGTTATGAAATATATATTAAGAGATTGGGGTTTTTTTTTACCGCGTCACGAGCTTGCTGCCAATCGTGCCAAAGCCGGTGTTGAAGCTGTTGAAGCTCATCGCCACTGCCTAAAAAAAAAAGAAGCTTCAAGCGCGATGGGGTTTACCTGACGAAACCCATCGACTATGACAGCATTTTGCACTGGAGTAGACCCATGGTTTCTTCGACGATTAGCGCTTTGTTGCAGTACATCATCTGAGCGCGTACAGCGCCATGATACTACTATCCCATTCAACAAGTCAAGTCGAACAGCATTGCGAACCTCGGGGCCTTGCATGTCGTCTTCTCTTGCAGCTAGCAGCCGTCAACATTGGTCAGGAGAAGTAAGACGCAATCCGCCAGATTGCGGTTTCGCCTTGGACAATCAGCTGAAACTTAAGAGCTAGGAGCTCAAGTGATGGTTAAGGCTCTAAAGGCGGGAGGTCGGATGCGATCGACTTCTCCCTGAGAAATCGTATGACGTCGGCGTTGCCTCCATGCCCAACCGACAGACCCCGCGAGCTACCGTTAATCTTAAGCCCAGCCAGACCCCTCACCCTCGACAAGGCGACGTATACCTGAGCCTCTTCGAATGCCCTCGTCAGGTCGACAATAACGCGGTCCAGCGTCATCCCCTGACTTCTGTGGATGGTCATGGCCCAGGCGGCCGTAAGGGGAATCTGCGTACGGTGTAAGAGCGCGTAAGGCTCTTTGTCACCTCGTTCGTTGACTATGCATTCTGGGTAAATAGTCCGTATACAACTAGTCCGCCTTTGGTCGCTGTGATGAAAGAGCACTCGAGGCCACATTTTGTCTTTCTGCCGACTCATGAAACTCCTTACTTGTTGTTCTTTGAGGGGGGCATTTTCCCCGTAAATCGTCGGGCTTTCCGCATGTGGCCCAGACGATTCTTTTTGTCCTGACCAGGCTCTGGGGCGCTTGGCATCATCATAGGCTTCAAATCCGACAATAATTCCTTGACTACCATTACATAGCCCCGCCCGGAGGTCAAGATTGACCTGTAGCACCACGTGCATATCTTTCCTTAGTTCCACTGTTTGTTCTAGACGGTGATCCTCGAGGTTCTCTGTCATCCAGTTCGAGTGACTCGCGAGGTACTTCAACCTCCTGTGGCCCCTGGGGTCAAACCCATCCAAAGCCTGGTATGTGTATATCTGAGTCTCCAGCTTCCTAAACTCTCTTTCATTAACCCCAGACACTTCCGTCTTCGTTGGGAAGAGCCGCGTAGCGTTGGTGACATGACGATTATGATCCATCAAGGTATTCGTCTCATCCATGGAGAGTGGAATCCCAAGTCGACATTTTTGCAGCATCTTAAGAAACCCTTCATCCTTCTGTCGGTGGATCTGTTTCAACTCCACATGAATAAATTCACATTCTTCCCACGCCCTGCTCCTAAAGGCCCATTTGTCGGACTCCTGGAATGGCCCATGATTTTCCGGGCAGTTGTACTCGGTTTCGTAATCGTCAGCCTGCATCTTCTTCCCGCAGACGATGCAATGTTGAAAGGGTTTCACGGGAGGCAGCTGGCAGAAGTCACCAGTCACGATGACCTGTGCTCCGCCAAACGGAGCAATCCAAGTATCCGGATCCGCACCGAATTGCACCGATCGCCTGGCCTCCTTCATACAAATGTTCATACGCTCCAGGTGGTGGTTCTCGATCATACTTATCTCGTCAATAATGAGCACGTTGGTGTGGTTATGACTTTTCTTGAGATAGCCACGTTCTTTAACGCGCACTAAGTCCCTCAGCTCGTTTATCGACTTCTTGTGGTGGTTGGCAGTCCATCCCATGTAGGTCCACGTCGTCACACCGTCGACCTCAAGGGCTGCTCGGCCAGTCGGCGCCACGACGTGGACTCTTTTGCCCAATTCTCTGAGCTTCCTGACGGCAGCCTTGAGGACAGTGGACTTGCCGCATCCTGCCGAGCCTGTGAAGAAGACCCTGCGACCACTGACAATCAGATCAATCAGTTCCCGCTGCTCCTGGCACAGCTCAGGTTCGGCGTTATCGACACGTTCTTCCCCCCGAGCTGAAGAGTCTCCTTGGTTCGCATGTGGCTGGACACCATTGCCTGCAGTTTGCAGCAGTTGGACCTGTTCATCTGCCGGGGGGAGCGCCCGCTGCGCATCGATCGAGGCGGTTACGCCAGCTCCGTTCTGCGCTTCTATGCTCGACGGAGCTTCGACAACGGGGAAGTCAAAGTCGTCGGAGTCGAGCGAGATGCAGCTGTAGTCAGTATCCGACTCGTAGGCAGCGACTGAAGAAGCGAAATGCTCGCCATTTCGCCCTACATCCTCTTGGTGTCTGGCTGGCGCCATGGAGACGGCAACTCTTGCCCTAAGATTTCAACGTTGGTCGTCTGGTGGCAGAAAAATGAGGTACAGGTCTTGTGTGTGTGGTTTGTGGCGCAACTGGTCCGATGTTAGTGCTGTGACGGAGCGGCACGACCCACAAGCCCCGGTGTAACACCTGCATGTAGCCTTGCCTTCATGGTCTGCCAGGCTGGGAGGGACCCATTGGCCAATAGCAAGATAGGCAGCGACGAACTCGGGAGCTCAACAGCGAGGCTATGTCGTTCAACGAGTTCTCCTTCGCTGGTTCTGTTTTCTTGCACGATATCGTTTGATGCTCGTAGTGGTCGCTACGCCAGTTGTCAATATACTCCGCTGGGAGGACCTCGCTGCCTTCCGTGAATGCATGCCATGCATTCGGTGGACTTTTGTGATTCATGTTGCTAGTAGTAGCGTGAGAGCGTTCGTTCAGTGCCAAAGGCGGCGGCTTTACTATTACTTGCCGTCTGGCATATGTTTGAGACGTCCGGTGGAAATATTATTCTTAAGCTATAGCGTCTACCAGACGTTCCCGTCGCTTCAAGATCATCGAGTGAGGATGCGCCGATGCACTGAAGCTACACTGTGCGTATTAAGACGTCAATGAAATGATAGGAGAAGCTCGAGAGTCCCGTCAATATAACGTCGAGAGAGCCGTACGCATCGCATGGAACCGCATGGACCTGCTGCAGAACAGAATAATGCAATGAGTCTGGATATCAACTTGCAACGGCACCAGACGTTTAGCTTGCAGAGTGCGAAACCCACCGAACGGGGCAGATCCAGTCCGGAATGAGTGACTGGGTCGCAAGCTTATCTGACCATAATGCATCTGTTCCGCCCGAGGTGCTCAATGGAGCTCACCTGGATGCCGAATTCTGGCTTGATAGCTCCAAGATTACTGTTACTTGCTCGAGAGCCTTTCTACTTGACGCTGAGTATACCTGGCAATGAGAGACGACATAGATGTTAAAATTATGTTGGGATAAGAGGTTAAGCCTAGTATTTGCTTAGCTTACACGCCAGTGTTGCTTTGGTAATAAATACCCTTGGCGCTAGTAACTCGAATAAAGGGTCTGGTAAATCTAGTAAAAGAACATTGAAAGCACATGAATTTACACATAAGTAACCAGCCAAGTCGCGTCTAGAAGAGAATCTATGATCGCATGGTATCCGCAACGATAGCGGTTCTGAGAGGACGAATCAAGAGATGAGCATCCGTGCATTGTTAGATGAATGCAGGATAACCCATTGGCGAGAAAACAAAAACCACGCAGCTATGTCGTTTGTCATGAGCCAGGCAACAAACAATTTTTTTTCTGTGGGGAAAATGTTTTGGTGTCGCAATGGATCGCGATCTGCATTTAGCGCCATCTTGGGAAGCTTGAATGTTGGGCTCCATCGTACGGGCGCGACACGGCCTATTGTATGTCCGGCCGGTGAAGAATACCGTCAAGTGCGCGGATTACTATTCCTGGCGAGGCGCTGGTGTTGCACATCCCCCCTTGTCCTGCTGAAGGATGTCTGGTCCGTCGGCTCGTGTGTGGACGTACCAGACGGCACCCGGGGTTCCACAAACTCAGCCACCGGCCCCTAGTTCCTGACACATGTGCAATCAATCGCGCTGCGGCCCACAGAGTAAATGAAGAAAGTTGTGCATCGTAAACAGGACGAAGAGCCACGGCGTCCGTCTGCGAGGCGAGACAGAGGAATTGGCCCCAACGCCCAGCCAATTACACCGCCGGATCCTCGCTCCCGCTTGACAAAAAGAGAGAGGGGAAAAAAGACAGCAATCAACAAAATATTGACGCGGTGCAACACATCATTACCCCTCGTGTTAAAGTTCACGCCATGCCAACCTTCCAAGGCACGACAGGCACAGCGGTGGATCCCAAGCAAGGGGGAGGGGAGGGGATTCGGCTTCGTTCCGGAACAGGCTGCCTCCGGCCGTAAGCACGTATTTTTGTTCACACAATAATTGCCTCTCCGACCGACCTTTCTCTTCCTGTTCTTCCATTTTCCATCGCGTCATGACGGATTAGACGGGACGAGCGGGTATTTCTTTCTTGTTTCTTTTACTTTATTCGTTTTTTCTGTTTTCCTCCCTCCTCTTTGCCCATTTTCCAATCGTGGGACATTTCCATCCATCACAACATGGTCGCCTCACGGGTGCTCAGCCTGGCGCTGCTCGCGGCGTTGTGCTCGGCACAGAACCTATGTGCAGACATCAACACGTCTGACTCTAGCCCAAGTACGGCGGAACCGCCCTTGCCAAATGCATTTCTCGTGTTCAGTTTTCTATAGAGCTGGGTAAACTAACCGTGAGTTTTTTTTCTTTCAAACAGGTGCCGATATCTACCAGAGCTCGGGAAAGTGCACCTCGACGTGCAAGGGCAAGTATGCCTACGCGGTGATGCAGTCCAGCAACTGCTGGTGCACAAACTACACGCCCGACAAGGCGTCGCAAAAGGACGGATGCAGCCTCCCCTGCCCCGGGTACCCGTTCGACATGTGCGGCGGCAAAAGCAGATACAGCTACGTGCTGGTGGATGCGAGTTTGATAGCGGGCACCAAGGGCAGCAGCAGCAGCAGCAGTAGCAGCAGCAGCGCCTCATCCACACCCTCATCGGCGAGCGATTCCGCCTCGTCATCGGCTTCATCTACGCCGGCACCGTCCGCCTCGCCGCAAGTCACGACGGTGGACGGCGTGGCGCGAACCGTCACCGTCATGCCGACGCAGACGGGCGACACCGACTCCTCGGGCAGCAACAGCAACGACAGCGGAATCAAGGTGCCGACCCTGCTGGGCATCGTCTTTGGCTGCATAGGCGGCGTCGCCATCATCGCCATAGGCATCATCTGGTTCTTCTTCCGCCGGAAGCAGGACGACAAGGACAGCGACGCGGCCGCGAGCGTGAGCACGCCAGGCCGGTCGGGCGGCACCTCTAGGAGCTCCTTGGACAACCTGTCCAACCCCTTCTCCGACTCGAGATCCCACGGCCTGTACTCGTGGAGAAACAGGTCTGGCAGCTTGGAGTTTCTGCCGGAAAAGGACACCACCCCTACGCTACGCGTGGCGAATCCAGACCGCACGTGAAGAGCAATGAACATAATGACCGGAGCCTTGTTGTTATTCTTATTTTTTTGGTTGTTTTTTACATCTTGTACGCTATAATACTCCGTACCGGGCGAATGGATATTACAGGCTCAGAATATTTTACATAGAATGAATCGTATATAATTCCCACAGCCTTGACCGATATAGCATTGCACTGTGAGCCATTATCTAGCCGTATTGTTGTGCACCGCTAGACAAACGATTGCCTCTTGGCCCCCCTTTTTTTCAAGCAGAACCTCTTGAAGCAAACGCAAGGCTACCCTGCCCGAGCTGGCTGTGCATCGGCGTGGCTGCGGTGTAGCATTGCCGGATACCCATGATGGAGGGCCCCATGGATGCAGGCCAAGCTTTTCAACCACTAGCGTGCCTCCGCTCCGGCAGCAGAGTTCGTGTTGTTGCGCAGCATATGCAGGTACACATGTGCAATTTGCTCAAACTTGATTTCCCCCCAAGGTGACATGATTTCGGACGGAATCTGTCTGATATGCGCCGCCAGCGAGGTTGCATTTGTCACTTCGGCTCGAGTAGTACTGCAAAGGAAAACAAATGCCAGATACCAAGTCGACAAACGTGGACATTCGTTTTTGCTATTTTCGTTTGGCCAGGGTACAACAGCCCCCGCCAAGACGCAGAGCAACGAAGACATGGCCCCGGGTTCCATGGTCCAGTCCCCGGCGAACATGTCACTAGTGCGACCATTTCGAACTCGTCCTCGTTCGTGGCCGTCATCACACCACCCGACCTTGCTGCTCGCTCAAATCCGACCGAAACGCACCTGTTGTCACCCTCAGCGTCACGTCGTGCTCCGGCGCGGCCTTCAACGCGCTCAGCACAAGGTGAAGCCCGCCGTGGATTCGGCCGCCCTCTTGAGCTGGCTGTCGCCGTGGCCTGTGAAGCCCCGTCTCCACGACGCGCAGATACGCAGTGCCGTCGTGGCAGGGACATGGAATAATACGAAACTCCACAGTGGACGGGCTGTCCTCGTCGTACATGCCCCATCGGAAGCGGATGAGATGATCGGGCACTACCGCGTCGACGTGCACCGCCGTGGAGACGCCGTACATACATGTACATTTCCAACTCCCACGTCAGGGTTGTGCCCTGGCTCATGCGTCCCGACGACTTGGTGTACATACCAGAAGCGCGTGGTCATGGATGGGTCGGCGAGCGCTTCCAAGACGGCGTGTGGAGGGCGGCGGATGAGGACGCCCACGTTGACGGAGGGCGGGGTGTTGACTTGCATCGTGGGACGTGGCAGGCGCCAAGGGAATAGATGAGATGAAGGAGGACGAGGACGAGGATGAAGTATGTGCTTGCAAATACTCCGTATTTGAAACAAACTTGCACGGGGTGCTCAGTGCCGTTCTTCACAAACCTTACCTCTACGTTGGGACGGCATGCCAAGATGTGCAAGTGGTTCACGGACGGCTGAGCATAAATCACGCTCCATGTCTGGAGATGCACAAATCCCAGCTACCAACTCCACAAAACACGCCGTCGGTGTCCGCATACCGACTCGACGTCACAGTCTCCATGGAGATTCAATCACTCCCGCGAATGATAACATGAAAGCCATTGGGCGGGAAGCTCGAGACGCTTCACCGGTATTCAACATGGGCTTGGTTTTACACACAGCACAGTGCATCGTGCACACATCGAAAGCATCACAGGTCGCATAGAAGCAAGCACGAAATCCGCGGCGGCAGCACCTCTAACCTGCCACCCTCGACTTTGCACTCTCCAATCGTTCAACTGTCGAGCAACAACAAATAATCATGCGTCTCTTGCCGGCGTGGCTCCTCGCCGCCACGGCCTGCGCCTCCCAACACGCCCTATCGACGCGAATGCTCGACAGCATCATGGCCCGGCAGCAGGGCATCGTTGACTCGGGCGCGGCAAGCAGCACCCTCGAAAGCGGCATCCTCGCGCAGGCGTTCGAATACGCCATCGCGCAGTACCCGGCCGCCAAGGCCAGATACGGCGGCTACCTCTCGTCGGTACTGGACAAGGCCTCGGCCAGCTTCGCCAACGCCTCGTACGCCGCCACGCGGCCGCTGGACCGCTTCTCGCTCGCAACCGCCATCGACGCGGCGCTCGCATCGCACGCGGGCCCCGTGACGGCTCGCTCCCGCGCCGCCTACGCCGCCATTAACGCCTCGCTCGCCCTGCAGCCCCGGAACCCGGCCGGCGGGCTGTGGTACTACGTCTACCCCGAATGGAGCTACCTGGACGGCATGTTCTCGCTGCTGCCCTTCATGGCGGCCCTGCCGCGCGCCAACCTCTCCGACGCGAGGCACCAGGTCGAGCTCCTCCGCGACCGCTGCACCCAGCAAAACACCTCCCTCCTGGTCCACGGCTACGACTGGTCGCGCACCGCCGTCGGGGCCGACCCGGCCACCGGCGCGAGCCCCTACGTCTGGGGCCGCTCGCTCGGCTGGTTCCTCGCGGGCCTCGTGCAGGCCTGGGACCAGCTGGCGTGCGCGGCCGCCGACGACGACGCCGCCCAGCAGCCCGCCGACCGCGTCGCGCTGTGCTCCCTCGTCAGGAACATCACCGTCCAGGTGTCCGGCGCGCTCGTGCGCCACGCCGACCCGGCCACTGGCGCGTGGTGGCAGATTGTCACGCTGCCCGGCGTCGGCGCCAACTACCTCGAGAGCTCGAGCACCGCCCTCTTCACATTCGCCATCCTCAAGGCCTTGCGGACGGGGCTGCTGTGCGGCCGGACGCCCGACTACAGGGGCACGGCGCTGCGGGCGTACAATTACACCGTGGGCCGGTTTGTCACCGACACGGGCAACGGCACGATTGGCTTCGACAAGACGGTTTCTGTGTGTAGCCTGAATTCCAGCGCCTCCTTTGAGTACTATACCACACGGTCTCTTGTGCCAAACAGTTTGCTAGGGGAGTCGGCTTTTGTCCTGGCCGCGTTGGAGGTGGAGAGGATGGCGTGAGTACATGTTGCGAGGTGTTGTGATTTGAAAATGCCCGGCATTTTTATACGAGTCCACATGTACCGGCATAAATAAGAACGGGAATGTCCTTGTGAATACCGGGGACGGTGCAATGGGAGGAGGGTCTTGCATCACCACCATCTGTACGGATATAGTCATTGTACTTGGAATTACATGTCGGCACGGTTAGCTTCAACAAGGAGTCTCCGTGGTTTTAAAATGTCCAATGCATGATATTTGCGCGTGGTGCGGCTCCAGCACTTGCGTCGAAAATATGCGCGTGTACATGTACAGATTAAATATCGTTGCGTATATACCTGATACACGCTTCATTACACATTTCAATTGTCCGCCACTCCCCTTGACCACCGGGCGTTTACGACCCTGTTACCGATTTCGCACTGCTCTTGACAAAACAGACCCTAGGAACGCGGACATGGCACGAAAAGACGGAAATGAGCCGCCAATACCGGCGCAAGCCAACGACCCAACAAAGCACGGAGCAGAATTGAAGCCCATTGGCGCGGCGGAGCTGCCAAACGGCAATACACGACCACAAGTCGGCGGAGCACCTTTGCGAGCATCATTGCAAGCTTGATTGTTGACGCCTTGAGAGTCCGTTTTCCCGACAGGAGGAATGGGAACCGCGTTGCACGGCCAGATTCGCACGAGCAGTCCACCGTCCCTCATGACGCATTTCCAAAGAATCTCGTAATTTTCTGCGACCCCGGCCCCTTGACCTTCCTGGGGCTCTTGTGCTCATTCTTGGTCGAACTAATCTTTGCCTTCTCCGAAGCCGTCTTCTTCACCGGGCGATCCGGACTCGTCGGCGGCTCCTTGCGCTTCTCTCGCTCATCCTCCTCCACAGGCTTACGCTCGACGCTAGAGTCTTCCGTCTTGACGGCGGCCGATTCGGCATCTTTGGGTCCCTTCTTCTGCGCGCTCGAGAAGAAATTCGCAATGTTGGACTTGTTCTGCTTGCTGTTGAGCGGGACGATAAACGACGGCGAGTTGTTGCCGACTTTGCCGACGTCCTTTGTGACGGGGTACACGTCCAGCTCGCCGGCAAAGGGCTTCAGCAGGGACTGCAGCTCGCGGGACCACTCGTGCCGGGCCGGGTCGAGCCACTGTGTGATGTGGTCGGAGCCCGGGTCGAAAATGACGGGCATCCGGTCATGCAGGAACTTGAGCTGCTTGTTGGAGTCGGTGGTGATGATGGTGTAGGTGTACAGCTTCTCGTCGGAGCCTGTTGCTCTTGTTAGGCGAGACGGGCTTTCATGGGTCAGTCAGCAGTGGGCGGGCGGGCGTATGCACCTTCGTATCGGACGCAATCCCACAGTCCGGCAAAGCACATGAGGCGGCCGTCTTTTCGCCTGACGAAATGGGGCAGCTTGTCCCTGGGCCCGGCCTTGAGCCACTCGAAGAATCCTTGGGCAATGACTATGCAGCGCTTCTTGTTCTTCATGGACGCCCACATGCCGCCGGGGGTGCTGAGGGAATCCTCGCGGCAGTTGATGGTCCTCATGAGGGTCTGGTAGTCGGGGTTTCGCTTGGTCCAGAACGGAACAAGACCCCATTTCATGGATTGCAGCTTGTACTTGACCTGGCCCGCGGTGGCAGCATCCTCTTCAGTTGGCGCGGCCTCGTCGCCGTCGGTGCCCTTGGCCTGGTGAGATCGGGACCGGGGGCCCGCACCCCAATCCGGGGTATCGGCTCTGTAGACGACGCCGTGGTATCCGGGAGCAAAGTTGTATGATTGCCGGGGGGCGCCGGGGCCGTCCTCGTCATCTACCGAATAGTCTACGGGCATGTCGTCGTCCTGTAGCATTTGGCGTATTTGAGAGGCGCGCTAGTTCCGTCAGTTGGGCTGTCTGAGTGACCTGTGAGCCAACGGTGACTTACGAGCGCCAACGCGTATCGACCACACATTGTGCGTGGTAGTTGCCTTTCGGCTCAATGAGTAATGAAACAGTGATTGCGTAGGGAGGATGGGATTGTCGAGTCCAGCTGAGCCAAGTTCATCATGACGATGGCGCTGTCACGTGCGGGGCTTTGTGAATGGATTGCTCGGAAACGCACCCAAGCTTGCACAGTATTCGTGATACAACAACTTGACGACTCTCTAACTGCACGCCAATAATATTTGACCTGCACAGCATTGAAAACACCAGACCCAGACCGCATGCAAGCTGCACCCACCAGACATGTGTCGACGCCGGCAGACCATGCATGGCACCAGACGTACGGAGTACAGGCCCTGAAACAACCGCGGCAGCCACTCATGTCTCTCAGCGCCGCCGCCACGGCCGTCTGTAAGCATCACGCCTGGTCAATGCCAGCTTGAGACTTTTATCCATGCTTTGACATACACGGCCCTCGAGTAGTCGACTGCTGTTACACCGATTCAAGCCGGCCTGGAAGATATGTATGTTGATGAACAAACACAATCCCAGCAATCTCATATTCCATCATCCTATCGACGCCATTGAGCACCCACCCAATTGCATCCTCCACAACTCCATCAAGCCGCCCATGAGGCCGTCTCACGCCTCGACCCTCCAACATCATCCGCCATGAACGTCAACCCATACGACCTCACTCACAGCGTCGCCACCTTCTACAACTGCTACCTCTGTGGCTCCAAAATAGCCCTCGCCGCCATCAACCTCCGCGGGGAGGGCTGGAAGGCCGTTGCCCAGGAACTCAAGCATCCATCGCCATCTCAGGCCCGCGTGCCGCAGCCGCTCGTCCAGCCGGGATTCTGTTCACACGCCTTCGAGGCCGACCAAGAAGCCAGAGTTGTCCACGCCGCATGCTGGGGCGTCGTCGTCAAGCTATGGGGCAAGACGGTCTTCACCATGGCCGAACTCGACGGCTTCCTGGACTGCGCCCGAAACGTGTCGCCCTTCCTGCCGGAAATTCCCTTCAAGGAAACCCCCGAGCAGCTCGACATCACCATCGACCACCGTCTCGACGCCAGTGACCTGGACTACGAGCCTGGCAACCCGCCAAACGACACCCTGCGGTACTGGGAGGCTCTTCAAACCGGCATCGCAGACGAGGGCATAATCCCCCCTTCCCTCCTCTCCGTCAGCAGCCACGAGCTGCCTCCCCAACTGGAAAGCTTCGTCGCCCACGCTCTCTACCACGCAACCCAGGTCCGCAAGAGCCCTGATGCAAACACCCGCTTCTGGGCCGAGGTCATTGGCATGCTCGCAAACTCGCCGGCGGCTCAGTTCTCCATCGACGAGCCGAATCGCGCATCACGCATCGCCCAGGCCGTCAGGAACCTGCGTCTCGGGGGACCCAACCGCTTCCCGCACACGGCCAACTTCGACACGGTCCGCGCCAACGCCCTCACCATCCTCGTCACCCTGATACCCATCCCCGTGGAAGACGTGGCCACCGCAGGCGCCAAGGACGGCAAACGGGCCCGGCTAGAGCGGCCGCGCTCCATACCGCTGGCCGACATCAAGCCCCAGGTGCCCTTCCGGCTCAACTTCTACACCATACGCAGGAAGTACGTCGTCGACAACGACATCGACAACGACCGCGGGTACACCCTCGGCATGAAATACCTGCGCACCATTGAGTTCGACGACACCCGCGGCGCCGCCACAGACCTGGTGCCCACGATACACGCCCTCTGCGGCGTGAGGCTCATCAGAGACAAGATTGGCGTGCTGGCAGTCCACGCAAAGGACGGCCCAAACTGGCTGGGCATCTGGCAGCAAGACCCCTCAATACAGCTCTCGCCCGAGATGGCCCTCAAGCCCACGAGCTCAGAGTGGCCCACCGGCTTTGCGCAGGGCTCGCTCGTTGTCGTTGCCGATGTACGTCGTCTTTTCCCCAAACGCGACCCCAAATAAGTTACTAACCGCCGTAGACGACCAAGGATATTGCTGTTTCCGACCAGCATTCGCACTACCTCGCCGAAACAGGACTCACATAGCAAAGCATAATGGTGTCAAGCCCTGTATCCCACATGAATATATATCATTGATAGAATAAAAAAAATTACCAACCGCCAACATGAACCCCCGTCCCGTAAGTGTGCACGGCCAACAGCTCCACCCCCACAGCCAGTCAACCACTTTGACGCAAGCCCAACCGCCCCAACACCATCAAAACTCGTCAAGCCCATCACCACACCGCAAAAATGCCTCCCAAAATCGTCCTCATCCGCCACGCCCAAGGCTACCACAACGTAGACAATAAGTCTCCCCCGCCTTCCCACCCCCCCAAAGAGACCACTAACGCCTCCCACAAGACTACAGCCTGCCCGACCCCCAACTCACCCCGCTAGGCGAGTCGCAGTGCCTCGCGCTGCGCGACTCCCTCCGGCGGCGGTTCGACGCCCTCCCCGCCCAGGACACCGCCGTGGTCGTCAGCCCCATGGTCCGCACGATGCAGACCGCCGTCCTGGCGCTCGACTGGCTCGCCGCAAAGGGGGTCGTGTTTGAAGCCAGCGCCGACTGGCAGGGTGAGTTGACCCCCTCAAAACAAGAGCCGACATGGAGCCACGGACAATTTCCCCCCCTAATGCAAGAGTTGCAGAAAACTCCGCGGACCCGTGCGACGTGGGCACGCCGCTCGCCCGGCTGCAGCCGGCCTGGCCGCAGATTTCGTTTGCGCGCCTGGACCCCGTGTGGCCGGACAAGACGTCGGCGGCGGCGACGCGGTATGCGCACGCGCGGTCGGCCGTGGTGGAGCGCGGCCGCCTGTGCCTCGAGGACCTGTACCGGCGGCCGGAGAAGGTGGTCTTTGTCGTGTCGCACTCTGGTTTCCTGAGGGTGGGCTGCGTGGGCTGGTGGTTCTTCAACAGCGACTATAGGATCTTTGAGTTTGAGGACGAGCTCGGCGAGGACGGGCGGCGCGTTGTGCGGCAAGACGAGAGCACGCTGGAGGGCGGCCTGGGGCTCTCTTGGGCGGAGACGGTTCCCCTCGGAGACGGGCTGCCGGACCTGCGCAACTGAGTCTGCGGGAGACGTGCTCCTTGGGGAGGCATGGCCTCGGACGGGCATTGGATCTTGTATTGTACAGGGGTATATATCGTGCTCTATAGCAAATTACTACTGTACAGGTGCATTACTTTGACAGGAAGCTCTGAAATGCCTCCTGGTCGATAACGACATTGCCGACGGCTCGTAGCCTCTTTCGACCTTCCTTTTGCTTCTCGAGCAGCTTCCTCCGCCGCGTGATGTCGCTGGCGTGCAGTTTGGCGAGGACGTCCTTGCGGAACGGCTTGATTGTTTCGCGGGCTATAATCTTGTTGCCGACTGCTGCTTGGATAACGACCTCTGTTTGTAGTTAGCCTCAGCAGACTCGGGCGGGCGAGTCGGTATAGGAGCGTACCAAACATTTGCCTGTCGACATGCTGCCTGAACTTGGTGACCCATCGTCTGCCAATGCGGTCGGCCTGCGAGCCGTGTACAACACGGCAGATTGCGTCGACGGGCTGCTTGTTGACGAGGAGTTGGATCTTGGCGAGTTTGCTCTCCCGCCAGCCGGCGTCTTCATAGTCCAGCGTGGCATATCCCTTGCTACTACCTGTTAGCATCTCGTCTGTGGCCTGTGACCAAGGTACAACAACACGTACGTAGCGCCCTTCAGCTTGCCAAAAAAGTCTTCCACCAGCTGCGCGGATGGTATGTTGTACACCAAGATAACCTGCGTTGTGTGAAAGAACTCTAGACTCTGCTGTTCGCCGCGGTTTGCTTCACAAAGTTCAATTACCCGTCCGAGATATTCGTGCGGGAGCGTCATGGTTGCCTTGACGTATCTGTGATGCGGTGAGCTTTCCTGTACCGCTGTGAGAATGACTCATACGTACGGTTCAAGTGTTTGGGACATTCGAATGCGGTGGTCAGTTGCGTCTGGAAACAAGGCCGGGTTCTGAATAATCTCTTCTGATCCATCCGGCCAAATGACTTTTGTTGGGACAGTAGGCTCAGTAATAATGATGCTCCGGCCATGCTCTTGCTTCAGGCGATCCTGAAATACTGAACAATGTAAACTGCCGAGAAATCCTAACCGCCAACCCGACCCCAGAGCCTCTGAGAAGTCCTTTTGTAATGTGACACTTCGGTCATTCAGCACAAGCTGATTGATGCTGTCCGCCAGACGAGTATAGTCACTTTGGTCGGTAGGGAATGCGGCCACAAAAACCATGGGCTTGGGTTCTTCAAAGCCCGGACAAGGTTCAACCGCATTTTCGCAGCCAACCGTCGTAAAGGTATCACCGAGCTTGGCATCCTGGATTCTCTTCATGCCCGGGTTAAAATACACGTAGCCAACTTGACCGGCTCGAAGGACTTTCTGTGGCGTTCCATCGGGGTACTGTATGCCGACCTGCCCGACTGTGTACTTCATGCCCGTGCCCATAGAAACCACATTATCCCCAGCCCGGATCGTGCCATCGAATACTCGTACGAGTAGGACCACGCCCCGGAAATTGTCATACCACGAATCCACAAGCAGGAACTTGAGCGGCAAGTTTTCGTCGCCAATAGGATGGGGTATTTTTTCAATCACAGCCGGTAAAATCTCCGGGACTCCTTTGCCTGTCTTGGCGCTTACTAGCACAGCATCCTTGGGATCCAATTCAAAGGTAGTTTCCATCTGTTCCAAGACTCGGGGAACGTCTGCCGAAGGCATGTCGATCTTATTAATGACGGGAACAAGAGCCAGGTCCTGCGCGAAGGCAAGATGAAAATTCGACACGGTCTGCGCTTGAATGCCCTGACTTGCATCAATAAGAAGCAGGGCTCCGCCACAACTGGCATATGATCGAGTCACTTCGGCGCGGAAATCGACGTGGCCAGGTGTATCAACCAAATGAAGCAAATAGTCCTCTCCGCGATATTTGTACAGCATTGTGCATGTTTGCGCCTTGACTGTAATTCCGCGTTCGCGCTCGACGTCCAGTTTGTCCTGGTTTTGGCCTCAATTAGCAACTACCTCTGCCGAATGCCAGTGCATCAGGTCCCGTCTCAACAAACCAAAATTTGCTTATTTGCATCACTCGGCGAGATTGTGCCCGTATGCTCCAACAATCGATCACTCAGGGTGCTCTTGCCATGGTCAATATGTGCCACGATGCAGAAATTTCGATAGCGCTCAATGGGAATGGCCGCAATTCGTGCTTCAAGCTTGGCTGGCGTTGGTTTTGCTGTCGAAGCGAATGCGCGGCGGAGGATGGGTTGTTGCTCGAAGAGGGCGGACCTTGCTGGCTGTAAGCATTGTCGCGCCCAGACTCTTCCAGCTCTCCACGCCCAGGTCATCTAGGGAATTGGAAACGTGAACGCATGGGCGGTGAATTGGCTGTTGATGAATGCCAAAAAAAACGGATGGAAATGATACCACATGGAGAAACCGGGTCAGGGTATTGAAGCCTGATTACCTAACAGGGCCAATAAAAGGTCAATACGCACCGCACTGCACACTGTGCATAGGCACTTTGACAACTTACACCTGGACTTTCAACAACAATCGAGTCCCTCAGCATTCAACATTGGTTAATCAAGGCAGAGGTGAGGCATGCAACATTTCACAGTACATGTTTGTGGGCGATATTATCCAGCTTTAGCATAGGTTTTTTACCCTGCTATAGAGGGGTTTTCCTAGGCCACAATGTAAATGCAGAGGCTTGGCATGGTAATCCAGTAGGTTCTTGAGAAGATGAGCTTGTATTTACTTGGTTATACATATATTCACTATATTAAGCTAATAACTACGAATAAAATCTCCACCCATTTATTCACCTCAAACTCTGGCTATTATTCTCTTTGCCCATCTGCGACCTTGATAATGGCTACTACGCAATACAACAAAAATGCCCGCGCTAGCAAGCAACATGGCCGGTTGGTAATGATTGGATCCTTTTGCAAATCCTCATGAATGCTTTAAAAAGTACCGAGTATGTGTACACGTGGTGACTCGGCTGCATTCGGAGCGGCGGCTGCCGTGTGAACGTTGGCTGTGGTTGGTGTTGCTCATTTGAGCGTTTGTGTTTGCGTCAAGCATTATGCGACGCACAGAAATCCTAGTTCCTCCCAAGTTTGAAATGCAAAACATTCTTTTTTTTTTGTGTGTGTGGGGAACAATGACTTGTATTTCCAAAGAGCTTGTCGTCTTAATTTTGGCAGTCGTTCTAGTAGTCGTCCCGTATTTTCTGCGTCTAGTCCCATGATTTGGGCCATGTGCATCCGTATCTCTTTTCGTGTCCTTTCCTCGGCCTGCTTATCCTAGATTCGCTCGCTCAACATATACAGCTGAGAGCGTACACGAGTTTACCACGTAAATTATACCGCAGCCTTGGAGCACAAGCTGGGCAGGGCGGCCGTGGCAGCAAAGGGGGACATGATAAAGGCGGCGAGGCCCAGGCATACTACAAATTTGGTTGCGCTCTCACCAACTTGACACACCCGCACGACTAGGCAGAATCTCTTATATTTCCCCAAAATACATCCATCATCATACAAAGCCCAAGCCAGGCTTCCTCGCCAACGCTCTCAATGCCAATGCATTAGTGTAATTAAATCAAAAGTAGTCAAGCCGCCACCCGTGTATGCCGTAATTGGTATTTGGTGATAATGATGGAGAAAATAATAACGGTAATGCTGTAGTCGTCATGCCCGATAAGTCGCCTGTAGTTGTTCCATTGCTTGCAAAATGTGCACAACATCTCAAAACCCAAAACACCCGCCACTACGTGAACAAAACATGCATCTCATGCCAATACCCATTCGCTCCCTCTCTTGATAAACTTATCCAGCAACATACCGAGGTCTGTCAAGACAAACCTGCAAATGTAAAAGCCGAAAAACTCCGCAGCATGTCGGGTGCAAAGTTCAAGCCCCACCTGCGTCTTGTCCGCATGCCGCAGTCCTGGGTCATCAACCTGCCGCGCGATTTGATCTGCCGAAACGTGTCAGTCTTCAACTAGTTTGGGGCCTCATCAAAAGGTCCATGGCAAAATGTCCTTACCAATGGCTTGCGCTGCATCAAACAAACGAGCAAGCGAGCTCATGTAGTGCGCGTTGGGACCGACGAATTGGGCCTGGCTGAGATCACGCTTCGGAGGCCGGCTTGTAGGCTGCGGTGTCATGGGCAGTGTTGGCATCGTTGCCGATTCCTTATGGCCTTCTCCTCCGCTCATCCGGCTGTTGTAAGCTCCACTCAGTCCCATGTTGGAGTTCTTGGGTCGAAGTCGTCTCCAAGAGAAGGACGATGACTTGCCGGACACGCTTGCAGTCCGTGGCACAGGGGGTGCTCCATCCCCTTCGACAACATTCGACGCTTCTTTGAACAACCCCCCTGAGCCCTGCACGCCCACATCATTTCCGAGTTTGCGGTTAAGTGCGGTTTGCACCTGTTCCAAGACACCTTCCAGCGACTGCATTTCATCTAGTACGGCATCCGCATCGCATGTGTCTACCTTTGCAAGTTTCAGGAGGGCCGCCGTGAGGTAGTCACAATTTGAAATCTTGTCCTCCACATTCTTAAGCTTGGCGCCCTTCACTTTCCAAACGTCCCGGGGAACAAACAGCTTCGTGCTCAGGTAGCCTCCTCGTGGGTGCGCCAATGTCTGATAAAGGCACCGCATGAGCCAAAACGGCCGCAGCATCACATCATTTGGACAGGGTTCAAGGGCCACGGGAGGATCCAGAACCATGGGGTTAGGCGAACCAGGGGTAGCCGGCAAGTGAATGTTGTCCTCAAAGAGATATAGGCTCCCTGGAGAAACCAAGTCCATTTGCTCGCGTAGGGACATTGCAAGTGACCCGGGAATCGCAGGCATGGCAGGAGTCCTAGCACTCCCAAAATGATTGCTTGAAGGGGTTCCGGGGGACATGTCGGATGCGTCGTCAAGATTAGAAAGCGACATGTTGCGACTCTTCAAACTGCGCAAGCTCGAAGACGAAAAGTTCTTCCGAAGCCTGCTTACAGTCGGTGAGCCGGACCGAGCTGCAGTGTTTTCATCAACATCTACCTGGCCGCGTTGGTGCGGTGGCGACCCTAGCATCTTGGGCTCGGTCGCTGGTACATCTGGACTAGGTGGTGTGAGCTTTCTGGCCGATCGGCTGGTCTGAGGTCTGTCCGGGACAGTTACTTCGGGGGGGATGTCGGGCGTCGAGATAGACTTCACTTGTGACAAGTCTTCAAAGCTGGTAGCGGTTGGCGGTCGGAGCTGTGTCGTCTGGATTTTGAGCTGCTTTGGGTTTTGACCGGACAACCTGCGATTGCGAACTGTCTGCCCGGGAGATTGCGCTCGAGTTAAAGGCAGTTCAGGCAACGATTGCTTCGGCGGCGGCGCAGACGGTTGCAGACTCTTGGGGACCGGATGCGATGGCAGTACGGTCGATCTGTCGACAGTGGCGGCCAGCGATCGTGTGTTTGGTACTTTAGTTTTTTCCTTTTCCTTCACCCAGCCTCGTGGGTCTTGACCGGGAGGTTTCCCTGGTTGGGCGGTACCCAGCTTTTGTTCTTCGTTCATCATAAAATCTTCAATGTTATAGTCACGGGTCATTTCTTCCAAAAGTCTTTCCTCCTCGTCTGAAGACAAATCTTCATAAAACCCTCCAGAAATTCCCTTACTTGGCTTTCCGGCTCGTTTGCCTTGGTACTCCTCTGGGTACGCTTCTCGCTCCGTTTGTCTGACACGCTCTCGAGCAGCCTCGACCTTCCGGAGCGCCTTTGTCACAATCTCTTCGGTGTGGTCAATGCTATCGTACTTGGGCGATTCCATGGGTTCGTATCCATCGTCGTATGCAGCTTCAATGGCCGCATCCAAAGCTGTGTCGAACTCCGCCTCTGTGTTGCCGCTGATGCTGCGAATGTGACCTCGATGAAACACAGACGAGCCTCTCGAGTGTAAGGATGACGTTCTTCCCGTCGATCCACCTGACTCGTCAATAGGATCCAACCAAGAATTTTGACTTTCATTTCTATAGTGCCCAGCACCACTCTCCCTCGAGCCCCTCCAAGATCCGGAGTGGTAAGACTCGGTGCCTCGATCGTTTGGATCATGACGATCATGTTGGGGCTTCGCCGGTGATACAGGGTGACGTGCGGCCAACGGCTGTATTGTGCGATTGGGCTCCGTGGTATATTCATCCGTGGCTCGAAGTCTCGCCGGAGAACGTGGGGAGCGTGAGAAAGCCGAGTGCAGTGAAGGTTGCTCTGCTGTCAATCTCGCTGATCGTGACGTTTCTTGAGAGCTGTCACTAGGATATCTTACGTCTTGTTGACGCTGCTGCACCTGCTGATTGTCATCTTCTACATTGGCATGTGTCGACCCATTTGAAGTTGCTATTTCCGACGTGACATCTGGGTCGTCTGCACTGCCTGGTCGAGCTGGCAATTCCTTGTTTTTTGCGGCTTGCCAAGGGGCCATTTGATCTAACTCCTCAATACGCCCAGCATATGTTCGTCGCTACAGATGTCAGGTCAGCTCGCCGGTTTACAAAAGATAGTCACTGTTCCCGCACTCACAATCGCCTCTAACTTGTTCTTGTCTTCGTCCGCCGTGGTCTTGAGTAGCACGTGTTGTAGAAGCTCGCATGCTTCAGCATAGGATTCTCTGGCCCCTTCGAAATTCTGCGCATTGTCCAGCTGGACAGCCATGTTTGCCTTTTGCAATGCCCGTGACAACATTGCCTTCTGTGACGGCGGTTTTGCTGTGCGAGGCTTGGCTAGATCTACGCTACGCTTTCCATTTCGACTCCGCGAGTGACCACGCGTAGAAGGGGGATATGGCTCTCTGATGGTTTCGTATGGCATTTTGGGCAATGAGTCAGAGGAATAAGCGGATTCGGGTTTTGCTGGCGAGGTTCCAAGGATATCAACGTCACTCGCGTCACCGCCGGGTAAAACTTCCAAGCTTGATGGTCGGGCTTGAAGTGGCTCGTCGAGCGGGCCCAGAGGTAGGATAGGTGGCAGAGTTAGCACCGGCAGCTCGATTTTGGAACTGGAAGCCCCTAGCTCTGTCCTGTTGTCGTAGTCGGGCTCGTTGGGTGGTGTTACCGGGAGCGTATTCGGGCGGGAGTAATAATCGTGGTCTGGGGGGGGGTCTTCACCAGGCGAATACACTGGGGTCAAAGTCGATGTTGTCGTTGCTGCAGCCGCTACAGAACGTCGCGGCGGCAGCAACGACGATACTCGTGGCAGTCGCGCCTGAGCGGCGGCTGACAGTGACGACTTTCGATACCGTGGAGGGCTTGCGCCGGGAAGTGGTCGATGCACGGACGGATCCAGTGTGGTGAGGGTGGTGGGTTGTTGAAGAGATGCAGCAACTGCAACGGCAGTAGCAGATGAGGCACGGTGAGATTCTATCTTGGCAGTCTGGTCAAGAATATGCTCTTGCTGCATGCTCCTTCAACATACGCGATGCTGATGGGGTGAGGAGGCATCAACCAGGCCAATGGTAGTTTAGAAGTCGGCGGTTCTTCTATGGCTGGCGAGAGGCAGGTAATCTCGAGCTGTCTACCACGTACTCCGTACCTACTTAGAGGTATAGATGGCAATATTCGGCGAGGAGTCGAAATTGTTGTCGATTAGATATGAGGCGAATCGGTGCCGCCGACGGAGCTATTCCATATCGCTGCTTGTCTAGACAGATAAGGTACTGGTTGAGACAGGCGGTGGTTCGAAGGGCTGTGACGCAGTTCATGCAACCGACTCGACGACTCGCGGAGGATGGAGCGTGGGGAGCGAGTGCAATTGAGGAGGGTACCTGAATGTTTGACGGCAGGGGACCAGGGACTTGGAGAGTCAAGGCTTCAAGCAAGCATAACTCGTCCCCAGGGCATACCGGCGCCGCGCTGACTCTCTGGGCCGACTGGGTGACAGGATCCGGGATCGATGGATGTTTCGTGCCTGCGCATGAATCTTGGGAAACGGGGGACGAGGTCAAAAGGAGTCGAGTAACTTCTTGAGCGGAGACCAGCCGGTTCAAGACAAAGTGGAGGCGAGGAGTGACAAAATGGCAAAGCCACAACGTGACAACGTGACAACGTGACTCGACCCAGGGACAGGGACTCGGGCAGCAGAGAGCCCGGCTAGCCGGGGGTCAGGGGGCAACTTGACTTGACACTTTACACTCAGACTTCAGACTCCGGACGTTCAAGTGTTACGGAGGAGAAGCAGACATTCAAAGGGAAAGGGGTGGGCTGGAAGGGCAACCGTATCGAGTGCTTGGCTACGCAAGGGACCAGATGACCAAATTACTAGTACCAGTAGTACTCCGTAGTTCCAATGCTCAACCTTGACGCCAGGGACAGATTGGTGCCAAGCGGCCGCCCCTGTCTCCGTCCTTCAGTTCATCGTCGTCGTCCAGAATTCGGCCACTGACGCCGCACGATGTGCCGATGGCGCTCCATTCATCTCTAGTCAGGGCCAGTCAGATCCAGGCAGGTTCCGGTTTTGGTTTTCGGCCGCTCATGGGCCCAGTTCCAGGGGTTCGATATCTTGATTTGACGGCCGACGAGGAAATATGGGGTCGGAATACAGACGGTAAGCACTCGGACGTTGGCTGAGGCCGATGCTCAGCCCGTTCACCATCTTCAGTCTGCCATGCTACGCCTCATCCGGTCAGCGTAGGGAGTCTTGATGGCCTACTACCGGCCTAGTAGGTACCTACCCAGGTGATTGAATAACTTTGCATCTGGACGGGCCCCATTCGGCTTCAGTGCTAAGTCTTCCGATGCTGTCATGATCGAGGTGTGCATGGACAGGCCCATGATGGCACTGGCCAACCACCATGCAATTCGTGCTCGAGCCCCACAATTACCTTCAATTCACACCAGATACTACTCCATACCGAGGACCTCGCAACTCGAGGCTTGTCGCAAAGCTCTTGATACTACGCGTTTGCTTGACACCAAACAGACGTCATGGCCAGCATTGATGATATTTTCAAGGTATATCGACTTGGCTCTATCCTCCCTGTTCTCTTCTCTTTTATATAAATACTAAACCGCAAGCAGAAATCTGGCGTACCCAGCAAAAGGAAACTCGAAGCCATCAAAGATCCAAGTCAGTCCCGCAACATCACCACTATCTGGCTCGAGTCCCGTCTAGCTAACCAGTGGCACCCGCACAGATGAAATCTACAAGTCCACCAAACTCAGCGTCAATGGATCAAACCGCCGCGCCCATGTCCAAGACCAACCCAACGATGATGACGAAGCCGGTCCACAGCCTGACGACGACCATGATTTCGGGCCCTCCATGCCGCCAGACAATGAAGACGAAGATGGAGATGATGAGGAAGGTCGCTTCTTCGGCGGTGGTATAAGCAAACAAGAATCACAGATGCTCGATTTCGTCGACGAGGCTGGCGAGGCGGATCAGGCCCCAGACAAGATTGATGCCACATGGTTGCGCAAGACGGTCCTAAACTTCGAAAAGCACATTACCAAAAACGCCGAGCTACGAGCGAAATACGAGGGCGATCCCCAAAAGTTCATAAGCAGCGAGGCCGATCTCGATGCCGATATCAAGGGCCTATCCATTCTATCGGAGCATCCAGAGCTGTACCCAGACTTTGTAAAGTTAGGCTCCGTCAACAGTTTAGTAGGCCTACTAGCCCATGAAAACACAGACATTGCCATTGATTCCATAGAAATCATTGGCGAATTAACCGACGAGGATGTATCAGCCGAGGATGAGCAATGGAATGCCCTAGTGGATGCATTAATCGAGGCAGATCTCGTGGGACTCGTCGTCTCCAACTTTTCACGGCTCAACGAAGACGATGAAGCAGACCGCAACGGCGTTTACTACGCTCTCGGGATAATAGAAAACCTTTGCTCCCGAGCCGCTACCGCCACACGAGTATGTCAAGACGACAGTCTACTGAAGTGGCTACTGCAACGAGTCCAGCGCAAAGAATCCCTCGTGACCCAAAACAAACAATATGCTGCTGAAATTCTCGCCATCCTCGCTCAAGCGTCTCCGGAAAACTGCCTACAACTCTCTAACCTTGACACAATCGACAAGCTCCTGCAGCTGGTCGCTACTTACCGACGGCGAGACCCGGACAAAGGTGGCGAGGAGGAAGAATTCATGGAGAACCTCTTTGAGGCATTAACATGTCTTGTCGACCAGCCCTCCGGTAAAGCAAAATTCCTGGACGCAGAAGGCGTAGAACTATGTTTAATTATGCTGAAAGAGGGGAAAATGAGCAAGGCACCGGCACTACGACTGCTGGACCACGCGGCGGGGGGTGCAACTGGTGCCGAAGTGTGTCTGAAGATTGTAGAAGCGGGTGGTCTCAAGGGCATATTCACATTATTCAACAAAACTCAGGATCATCGGTTGTTGGGCCACCTGATAAGTCTATTTGCATCCATGCTGCGCCTATTGCCCGCTTCCTCGGCCGAGAGGATACGCACATTGGCCAAGTTTGTGGAGAAGGACTATGAAAAGACGAGCAAGATGGTCAGATTACACCGAGAGTATTTCTCACGAGTGAAGAGGGCAGAGGAGGAATTCGCGCGGCAAGAGGCACCAGATGAGAAAGAGGCCGAGATTGAGCTGCTCTCGCAGAGGCTAGACGCCGGCCTGCACACCCTGCAGCAGATTGACGTCGCGCTCGCATGGCTAGTGGCAGAAGACACGGGCGCATCCAAAAAGATCAAGCAGCTCCTCGCCGAGCGAGACGAGGACGTCTCGGCCCTCGCGAGCGTCCTGTCCGAACAGCAGCGTGGGCTCGACACATCAGAAGATGATAGCAAGGATCTCAGCGAAATGCTGGGCACGCTCATACAATTCCTGCAGTAAAACCAACGGCACCAACCAATAATGTAAAAAAAATATATGTATTTCCACGCACGTATCTATGATGTGCACGCGAGCCCGTCCAGGCCATCTCGCTTACCATGTACACCCTCTCACTGCCATTGAATCCATACAAGCCAACATGACGTAACAAATACACAAACGCACTACTCCTTCTCTGGCGCAACGGGCTGCACGTCAAACACCGCGCTAAGGAGGTTCTTCACCACGCCCGCCTGTCCCTTCGACCCGGCCTCCTTAATAATCTGGATCTCCTTGTCGGCCTCCTTGGACGCCTCCTCCTCAGCCTGCTGGTTTCCCCTGCTGTGCTGCCCCGTCTGTCAGCTTTCTCGCGCTCCTCCCCGGCCCATGAATCAACAAAAAACGTACTTCGGCTTCGAATTTTTTAAACTCCTCCTCCTTGGAAGCTTTGTAATCTGCAATCTCCTTCTTCGCCTCGTCACGAGCCTCGCGGACGCGCTTGGTGCGGACTAGACCCGTCGTTTTAGCACCCCGTCTGGTCGTACGTGCCCAGGGCTGCTACTCACATTCTCGTGCTGCGACGGTCAGTCAGTAAACGGCTTTCAGCGTCTCCTCCGTATATGGGCCAACTTGCCTTTTTGCACAATCTTGGATGCTTCCCGCTCAGCCTACACGAATTAGCACAGTACACGAGGTGAGGAGCAGGGCAGGCCGTACATCAAGGAGCGTCTGGATGCCTGCAGAGTTCTGGGCAGACTACACGCACAGAGTTAGCGTCGTCGGGGAATTCACGGCATCAGGCAACGGACCATGGTGGGCGATTTGTTCTGTAGAAAAGGCGGAATTGCAGACTGCGACGGGTTGGGGATTGGATTGGACAACGAAGGATGAAGGTGAGGTGCTGGAAGCAAGTGAGGTAATCGGCGGGCCTACGTCTTGCCCACAGCTCACCCCGGCCCCGTGCCCCACCATGGCTGCAGGACTTAATCTGGCCGAGCTTGTCTAACCCTTCACTTTACACGCCAGCAAAGTGCATGGCATTTTGCTGCTCGCCAGACACCAAACAAAAAAAGAAGAACAGGCCGCCATGTCGCGCGCATCCAAGCTCACCTTGGCGGGGACGTCGCTGTTCGCCGCCTGCACCATCGGCTTCGTGCACTTCCAGCAGAAGTGGGAGAAGGAGGTTCGCTCCGCTGGCTCATGTCGTGCGCCAAAGACCAAGGGGCTGACTTTGTATAGGCGATGCACGAGGGAGTCGTCCGCGACATGGAGCAGCAGCGCGTCAAGCGCGAGCGGCAGCTCGACTTCGACATGCAGAGGGCCCTCGAGGCAGAGTACAAGCAGCACCAGACGGTGCGTGACTCGACGGCTGAAATGGATGCCAAGGACGCGCCGCCGCGATGATGCTACACATGCATGACGATGCTTGGAAAATTAAAATCAGAAATCGAGGTGCGGAAGCATAGATTTGAGCGAACCGGGGGGAAATAGAATCACGACTCTGTATAACATGTACTATAACTTGGGGGTCATTTTTTGGTAAATTTTGCATATTCATATTATCCTGTGGTGGTACAGCCTCTGCTGCGGGAGCAGTACAAATGCATCTTGTAAAGAATCTAACTCAACTTCAATGCATTAGCAAAAGGGGTGTGCAGCTATGTCATCATAATACATTCGTCCCTCTTTTTTCCCGTTCAATCAACTCCCTGAACAGAAACCACGCAATTGTCTATTTCCTCTTCTCCGTTTCGCCAGTCTTACATAACCATCTATTGGGCCAATTTGAGTCCCGCTTATCGGATAGATGCGCCGGACCTGTTGGTAAACATTCTTGCTGCAATGTTCATGGACTGAAGTTCTTGGAACAACAGCTTGGCAGCATAGGGAATGTGGATCTGGGCAATCTTGGTCTTGTTCTTACAGGGTCGGCATTCGAACGATTGCTTTGAAAGATTTCTAGGCACATGTTAGCAGAATTCATCCTCACGCTGGCACGTTAAACGGGTACTCACGCAATGGGTGTCATTAGCCCGCAAATCTCACATATGTGGACTCGGAAGGCATCTGATACTTCGAACAGTCGCTCCTTCAGGAAGGCAGCTGCACCATGAGCAATCATACAATCACGCTCCATTTCTCCGAATCGCAGGCCACCATCTCTAGCACGACCCTCCACTGGCTGCCGTGTCATGATTTGCACAGGTCCACGAGCACGCGCGTGGATCTTGTCGTCCACCATATGACGGAGTCGCTGGTAATATGTAGGCCCAAAGAACACCTGTGCTCTCAGCTTCTTGCCGGTATGGCCGTTGTACATGATTTCAAATCCTCTGGACTGGTAACCGTGTTTGCGCAGCAGTTCAGATACAGAGTCCACCGTCACATCAGTAAATGGTGTGGCATCACCCTCCATACCTTCCAATGTCGACACCTTACTCAACAGACACTCGATCAAGTGAGCAATTGTCATTCGAGATGGAATGGCGTGCGGGTTGATAATGATGTCTGGCGTCACACCCTCCCGTGTAAATGGCATGTCCTCCTGTCGGTAAGTGACACCAATGGTTCCCTTTTGACCGTGACGAGAAGCAAACTTGTCGCCAATTTGTGGGATTTTTGTTGTTCGGACACGAACCTTGACGTACTTGACATTGTCGGCATTAACTGTGAGGATGACCGAGTCCACAATGCCATTCTCCGTGCTTCTCAGCGGTGTGGAGATGTCACGTCTCTGATGGACGCTGGTTCTGGTTCCCAGGTCTTGGCTCTCTTGATCAATGGGCGCCGTCTTGCCAATAATGATGTCCTCCCCGGATACCCTCACGCCGGGTGCGACGATACCATCATCGTCAAGTTTGTCATATGTTCCGTGCTTCATACGAAGAGTACTCTGATGGAATGGTTTCTCAAATACTTCCGTGTAGTTCAAACCAACTTTCTTTTCTTGATCGGAGTATGAACGGAAGAACAGACTACGGAACAGGCCTCTGTCGATACTGCTCTGATTCATAATGACGGAATCCTCCTGGTTATAACCCGAGTAGCAGGCAATAGCGACGATAGCATTTTGGCCAGCAGGCAGCTCACGGAACTTGAGAAACTCCATGGATCGAGTGGTGGCCAGAGGTTTCTGGGGATAATAGAGAATATTTGCCATGGTGTCCATACGGCGAGAGTAATTGGTGAGGAAGAAACCCATGGCTTGTTTACCCATGGCGGATTGATAGGTGTTACGAGGTGACTAAAAAAGCCTGTCAGTAGAGCATGAGACAATTCTTGACAAAGGCTGCTTACCTGATTGTGATCGGGGAAGGGAATAATACTAGCGCAAATACCAAGAATCATACTGGGGTGAATTTCACAATGCGTATACATGTGCGTTGTGGGGTTGGTCTTGGTCTTGAGACGCTTATTCAGGTCATCTCCAATATCGTCATCAAGAGCAACACCGGCTTTCTGCAGACGATACAGCTCAAGATCTTCTGGCGTCATGCAGATCATTGATGTCTCTTCTTCTTCGGCATCGAGGTACTCGACGGCGCCGGCACGAATCAGTCCTTCCCAGCCAATTTTCTCGCTTGGGTCTTCGGGTGGTTCAGCTTGTTCTTTAGCAAGCTTGTTAACCAACTCTTTGGTCAAAACGAGATGGCCTTTTTCAATGCCCGTCTCGGGATCATCTTCTTGCTGCACAGTAAACACTGGTCTCATAACTCGGCCAGCGTCGGAGAAAATCTTGAACTCTTGATCCCTGATTTCTCGGACGAGAGACACCTCGTACTGCAGATACGACTTTCGTCTAGTATCCAAGACTTGACTGACCAGGTGCTTAGGATCTTGGTGTACACCAACCCAAACACCATTGACAAAGATCTTGGTGGCATGGGGATATCTCAGCGGCTCGTACTCTTCTACCACTTCCATGCCACGGTTGATCATGAATTCAATCAATGGCTCGGCCGGTGAACCCACACTGACGTAACACATCAATGACAGGTTCTTGACCAGGCCGCAAGCCTGACCTTCTGGCGTCTCGGCCGGACAGACCAAGCCCCAGTGTGTGTTGTGCAGCTGACGCGGTTTAGCGAGCTTACCATCTCTACCAATTGGTGTGTTGGTTCGTCGCAAGTGAGAGAGTGTCGAAGCAAAAGTATACCTATTCAACACTTGGGACACGCCGGCAGTCGAACTCATGGCCTTCTTCTGATCTCCCCAGTTGCCAGTGGCAAGGGAATATTTCAAACCGTTGGAAAGTGTTCCAGGCTTGATACCAACTGCCAAGTTGAAATGACGGTTACCTTCAACGCATCTTCGCAAATAATTGGACAATTCCGTATTCATTCTGCGAATGATGCCGCGGAAGAGCTTGGCCAAAAGGGGACCAGCCAGGTCCAAACGCTTCTTGCCAAAGTGATCACGGTCATCGGGCTCACGTCGTCCGAGAGCGCATTGGAGGAGCTTATGAACCATGTAGCCCAGGAAGAAGGCTTTTCTCGTCTCGCTGCCTTCGGTTTGGGAGATGTGAGGAAGCGTCTCCTTCTGCAAAATGTCCTTGGCAACACGAACGCGTTTGTCTCTGCCCAAGCCGGCCTGGTCTCGGTTACCTCGCTTTCCGATAAAGTCGAGAGCAACTTCTCTGTCCTGGACACAGAAGGCCTCTTCGATGCATGGTCGAAGCATCTCCAGCATCTGGCTGTCCTTTCTGTCGTAGCAGATGTGGTTGAGAATGTCCTCGTCAGACACAACACCCAAGGCACGGAAGACGATGGCAATTGGTAGATCGGATTTTACAAAGGGAAGAGTGGTGTGAATGGTTTGACCAAAGCCACCACGAGCGGAGTCGCCCTTGCCGTATAGCTTAAGTGACAAGCTCGAAATAAGACGTGAGCCCTTCTCCAACGCACTTCTGATTTCAGCAGTGTACGTGTACGGGCTAGGCTGAGCCTTCTTGAAAACCTGGACGATGTTGGCGGCAGAGCGTTCCTGGGCAATAAGGACCTTTTCGCTGCCATTGATGACGAAGTAACCACCCTGGTCGTAGGGACATTCATTGACCATGAACAAGCTGTCCTCCTGCTCGCGACTCAAGTGGCAAATCTTGGATTTGACCATGATGGGAAGTTTTCCAACAAACACCATGTTCTTCCAGTCCTCCGACTTGCCAGTGTCATCGTCCTCGGCGGATTCCTCGAGTTCCCAGACAAGCTTTGTAGGCATTTCACCGGTCCTCTTCAGCTCCTCACGTTGAGCGTCATCCAACTCTTTGAGGGGTATATCTTGCTCAACAGCCCTGGAGACCTTCTTAGTAATGTTGATGTAGAGAGGACTTGCATAAGTCAAGTTTCGGTCACGACACTCGTACGGCAGCAGCGACGTCACAGTTCCGTCGGTTTCGCTGATGGTCGGACGTGACACCATGACGGTTCCGAATTTGATCTCATATCGGCGGAGGGCAACTTTTTCTCCCGCGGCTGATGGAGGGTTCGGTTGGTCGAGTGTGATGGTGGAATATTCGTTGACAAGGTCCTGTATCGTCGTCTGTGTAAACTCGTCGAAGGAATCAGTCTGCTGCGAAACAAGGCCCTTGGTATCAAAAAAGGACGAGATGACGGTCCAGCAGTCCTCGGGGGTGATGCCCTCGTCGTCGTCGCCATCATAAGTTAAATAGTCGTAATCCTCCTCGTAGTCCGCCATGTTGCCGGCAGAGAACCTACGTTTACTCTATTGAGGCTCGAGGGCTAATCTAACCAACTATCACAATGTCCCAGCTTGGTGTTCGATGCGCGGCAGTCGGTTTTGCCTAATGCTTCTTGAGGTCGAATCAGGTCCAAGGACTCTGAGCTGGAGTTGCAAACCAGATCGGAGTCGAGGGGGTCAGTGCTACACCTGGCGCCTCTGGCACCGCGCGTGCAGCTGGGAGCGCAATCCAGCAGATTATCGGCGCGCAATATTCTTATTGCGTACAGGTTAGGGAGGGCTAGCTGATGATCGCAATGCTGGAGGCGTGGTTGACTTGTCGTTGATGATGTGCATAGAGCATCCAAATGTTCAAACGCCGCCAGCAGAAGTGCTCTTTTGCCGCTCTTTTGCCACGCTTTTGCCTGCACGCGCCTGCGGAGACGGCAATGACGCTAGACCCAAAGTGTGTAGGGCCCATTTTAATGCTTACTAAGGCCAGGCAATTAGACGAGCCACTCAGCTGCCAACAGGTTAAATCAAGTAGCGCCCTATGCAGCATGTCACTAAAATAAAGGATTACAGCCCTACGCAGCATTTCATTTTTGAGAAAATGAAGGATTACTAAGGCCAAATTAAACGAGCCACTCAGTTGCCAGCCAGGCGTTCATTCTAGTAAAAATAAATTGGCTCAAGCAAGTCCTCTTCATTGCTAACGGGGAGTGTTATTCGAAGTTAGATAACACCAGTCTGCTTACGGTTGAATAAATTGGCTCAAGAAACCGCTGCAAGCCAAGATACCCTTTGCATTTTGTAAAAATAAAGGAGTGAACTCAATCTAAGTTAAAGTTGAATCAATCAGCTCTATCGTCACCAGAAACCGGAGCTGCGAGCCAAGACGCGAGTTGTGAACAATAATGAATTGTTTTGCAGGCCTGGCGGTTTGATGCACCCAATTGGGGTGGTCTGGTAGCTTCTGGCTCGTGCGCGCCGCCCTACGATACACCTACCCTGCACCACGGTGTAGGTGGCCAGCCTAACCGCGCCGGAGACTCTGAAGACGGTAAATAATTCCATCAATCAATGGATTATTGTCACATGAGAGATTGAAGCGTTTCAGGTGACTACAAATAAGGATGTGCCTGAACCTTGTCTAATAACACCTCGTAATAATATGACATTATTAAGCGACTCGGAATTCCCGCGTGGCTGCTGCATCATGATGCCCGCCAGAATTACACGCCAGGCCGTCGTTTCAGGCAGGCGTTGTTGTATATAAGCGACTCAACGGCGGGGGGAGTCGACGTCCACGAGTTTTCCTGTAAACATTTCAAACTATCAATCGACCCAAATGAAATATTCTTTTGCCCTTTCCCTATCATCTCCAATTCTCATTGCCGCTGCCAACATGGCACCCGATGAAGTCTTGCTCCATGGCTGGACCGCTGTCCCAGTGGATGCCGGCCAGCTCTTCGACGGCAAGACTTATAAGAATACGCCAACTCCGCTCAAGGTGGATTGCATCGAGTTTCCCTCTGATGATCCTATTGTGGTCAAGGCCCAAGGGTATGCCAAGGACAAGCTGCCTCCCGAAACATTTAACCACTCCATGAGGGTGTACTACTATGGTAAGTACTAACTTAGGCACACACCATCAAGTTGCATCAACATGCTTGACCCTGCTTCACAACACAACACCATATACTAACATGAGCAACCATAGCAACTGCCATTATCCGGCAACAGTTTCCCGAGCATGTCAAGAGCTTCTCCCCATCGACTCTCGCCCTGACGGCCCTCCTCCACGACATTGGCACCGCCGAAGAGAACATGTCGGCAACCCGCATGTCGTTTGAGTTCTATGGCGGCTTCAAAGCCCGCGGGGTCTTGCAAGACTTTGGATCTACACAGGACCAAGCCGATGCCGTCTGCGAAGCCATCATCCGCCACCAAGACCTGGGCACCGACGGCAACATTACCTTTTTGGGACAGGTGATTCAGTTGGCCACCATCTATGACAATGTCAGCGACCACCCTCACTTGCCCGACATCAAGGAGCTTGTGCATGCTGTCACCAGGGAGGAAGTCATTGATGCATTTCCGCGAAAGGGATGGCTTGGCTGCTTTGCCAAGACGGTGCAGAAGGAGGTTGGTCTCAAGCCGTGGAGCCACACCACCCACATTCCGGATTTTGATGACAAGATTCTGGGGAACGCGTTGATGAAGCCGTACGAGTAAGCCTAAATATACTCGGTGCTGGCTCTGCTGCCAGTCATTCATTCCACCCCACGTGGCTCGCCTATTTGGCACCCAGTGACTCCATGTCTGTATATGTACGGGGACCATGTCCCCATGCTGCAATTTTTAGTGTAGTTAAGTAGAACAATGGCGGACTGTTTTTCATAATCCGGCTTGCATGCTCGTCTGACCGTGCAGCCACTCGGCCAACTGCCGATTGAATTCGTCATCGGGAACAAGCGCGGCATCGGCCTCAACCTGGGTTTGCTGCCGCCCCTCCCCTCCATGTCACTAGCTTCGTGAGAGTCTTTATCTCTCAGACTCGACTTGACTTGACTTGACTTGACTTTTACCCCGCCGTCACATTGACGGTACACCATACGTCCAGTCTGCTGCAAACGAGGCCTCGGCAATCATCGTATCTGGCCTGATTGACATTTTAAAAGACACCGGGGCCCCTCACTGCCCCGACAAGAGGCGGCCCTGGATGCTGCGTATTTTCAGACGCCCTCGGTCCACGGGCTACCGCAGGGTCAGCACCATGGATCCCTCAGCAAGCAGCACCGCGACCAACACAGCTCGACTGTCTGCCGATTCGACCCGACCAGCTGAAGATGCCGTCTTTGACTACCTGCCAGCCTCGCAGGAGGAGTATGCCGCCGTAGAGAAGGAGTTGGTGCGCCGGATCGACTGGACCCTGATGCCCGTCATGATTTCCATGATTGTTCTGAAGTTGGTTTCCACGACCAGACTCTGACCAAGGGTCGACGGTCCCAGTCTCCAGACTGCGCCTCCCCCACAACTCCATCTCCATTTGGCTAATCGCATCGGCAGCTATCTCGATCGCAACGCACTGCCCAATGCGCGCATCCAAGGCATCGAGAAGGACCTCCATCTGCAAGGGAACCAGTTCAACATCTGCATCTCGGTCCTGTTCGCAGGCTATCTGACTCTGCAAATCCCCTCCAACCTCATCCTCACCCGGGTCAGGCCGAGCATCTATCTGCCCACATGCATGGCCCTCTGGGGCGTCGTCTCGGCATCCACCGCCGCCGTCCATGACTTCAGGGGACTCGTCATATGCCGCTTCTTTCTGGGCTTCCTCGAAGCCCCCTTCTTCCCTGGCGCGCTCTTCCTGCTGTCGAGCTGGTACACGCCGCGCGAGCTGGCCACGCGAACGGCCGTCATGTACACGGGGAGCCTGCTCTCCAGCGCCTTTGGCGGCCTCGTCGGCGCCGGTGTGCAGTACGGCCTCGATGGCGCCCGGGGCCTGCACGCATGGCAGTGGATGTTTGTCATCGAGGGCGCCGCGACCGTGGCCGTGTCCCTGGCGTCCATCTTCGTTCTGCCCGATTTCCCAGCGACCACGGCGTGGCTGTCGAGCCAGCAGAGGGCGGTTGCCATGCACAGACTGCGCGTGCACAGCGGGAGCGTCGACGAGGAAAAGGGCTCCGTGCTGCAGGGCCTCAGGATGGCGCTTTTGGACTACAAGGTCTGGCTGCTGACGCTGATTGTCATTCTCAAGACGTCCGCCGCCGCTGTCACGGCCTTTATCCCCACGCTGGTGGCTACATTCAACTTTGGCAAGATCGAATCGCTGCTCATGACGGCTCCGCCGTATGTGTTTGCCGCTGTTGTTGCCATGGCAGTCTCCGTGGCGAGCGACAAGCTGGAGGAGCGGTACTGGCACCTCGTTTGCCCGCTGGCCGTTGGCATGGTCGGCTTCATCGTTGCCGCGTGTACTCATTCGTTGGCGCCGAGATATTTCTCCCTGTTCCTCATGCTGGGTGGCGTGTACGGATGCTTCGACATTACGTATGCTTGGCTGTCGTCGACTGTAAGCGCTGTTTTTGCCCTCGTTTTATGCTCTGCTTTTGGTCCTTTCAGGACCCTGCCGGCTGACCGCTTACGTTGTAGTTGCCCCGACCCCTGGAGAAGCGCTCGGCAGCCTTCGCCATCACGAACATGGTCGGCAACATTGCCCAGGTCTACTCGCCCTACCTGTATGACAAATCGACGGGGCCGCAATACCTGCCTGCCATGATTTCCAACAGCGCTTTTGTATTCGGATCTATGGTGGCTGCTACTGCGCTGCTCTTTTGCTTGAAATGGGAAAATCGGAAGCTTGATGAGGCCGAGGCCGTCCTTGATGAGGAGCCACGCCGAGAGGACGATGCTCCGGCCAAGAGTACCAGTATTGTGGAGTCTAGATTCGAAGGAACTGTAAAGTTGAATAGAGGCTTTAGATACATGCTTTAGTGGTGCCTTTGCGATGGGTTGAATACACCTGTTTATGGACCTGGCGTTGGTAGCAGTGGTGTGCGACTGAACTGCAGGTCCAAAAGAAACTAGTCGGCAATCATATCTGGTAGTGCTAGTGAGGCATTGAGCGTATTTACTATCGCTATCACTTTGTGGAGAGGTCTTACCGGACGCGATTGTATGTAAAGACTACGAATAAAAGATGATTTGGTCCACAGAGGCCTCTGATAACATTATCTAGAAGGAACTCTAAGGACCATACCAGATAATATTATCCAAGTTATTGAGCCTAGGCGGAATCGTCATGATGTTTACCATTATTACTATTAGTCTGAGCAATACTATGCGCTAATCAGCAGTCGAACACACCGCAGAACTATCAATCTTGTTTTCACTTCCCAACGGATCGCCCAATCTCTCGCCCAGCTGCACAATAGTATTTTCGTATATCCGCGCCGCATCCATGTGCAACCTCTCCTCCTCAATATCCCACGGCGTCGGGGTCCGGTTGCCGCCGGCCTCCGCCGCACTTTCACCGCCATCCATATCCATATCCGTATCCTCGTCCTCGTCCTCATCGTCCTCATCATCCACGTCGCCGCTGCTCAATACCTCCACGATCAAGACCCTCGTCTGCTCCACCAAACTCCGACACCGGACCATGTCGGTCGTGGTCATGCCTGCCCGGAGACCATTCTCAAACCCGGGCAGGGTCTCATTTGTGTCCATGTCCTGGCCGCGCAACAGACTGGCGAAGCAGTGGTCCAGTTTCCTCAGCAACTCAAATGTTGCTCGCGGAGAGGGCGGGAAGGACCGCACATACTGCGTAAAGTCGCTGGCTAGTTTCAACAGAAACGGAATTTGCAAGCTCGCTAGCACAAGGCGGTTAGTATTCACGAAGAAGGCGGGGGAAAAGGGCGAATTGTTGGCACGCACGTGTTCCGGATTTCCACAGGACGTTTACCAGTCCGTCGAGCTCCTTGGCGACTTCGCCGAAGGATTTGAACCCGACGACCTCATCTCCGGGATTTGGGTTGCCGAATTTCTTGACGTAGCGGCGTGAAATGTGTAGGAGGCGCTCTTCGACGTAGCGACGGACCATGTCCTCTTTACTTGACCCCGGGCGTAGTGAGTGACCTCGTGGGTGAGGAAGTCCGGCAAGGGGCCTGGTGGAGGCTGAGGATGGGGCCGGAGACGGGAGGCCGGTCTGCCGGATGAATCCGCCGGGTTCTGGTATAGTCGACTGATCATCCATTATTGATGTGACCTTGTTGGATGAGACGTCTCTATGAAATTATGCTGTCTGAGCATGTATGTATGGCTGATGTGGAAGGCGTGACGTGACCAGTGAGGACAGGTGGGGTTAGGTTCAGGATGCGGTGATGGGAGATGATTTGCACAGAATGCTATTTTTTAAAAGTTGAATTAAATACACTCGAAGAGGAAGTAAGGCCTTTGCATATCTCGATATGTTGTCTCAATTAAAGTGTCAAAGATCATGTCTATCTTGAGCCTCGACTTGCTTGGGCTGCTGATGACGCCAATCATGTGATGGCAAGTGGGTCTGGGGTGGTAGTCAATTTGGCCCCTTGTCACTGGAAAAGAAGCCGTCGCCCGAAATTTTTAAAGAGCTCCAGCAAAATCGTCATTCCGTCCAAACGCTTTGATCTGCCATTCACCATTTTGATCAACGCAAAACGACTTCACACGCCGTCGCATTAATCCCAATCCATACAAAATGCCTGCTCCCAAGAGAGTCCTCGCTGAGAAGCCTTCATCTCGCCGTGCTCCTAAGGGTTTCCTCGTTTCCGCATACGGCACTTTGACTTCATCCGAAAACGCGGCTGTTGTCCGCAGCATTGCCATGTTTGGCGTGAGTTTGGCCTGGGAGTCACTTTCGATAAAATTTACCTTGGACTCTGACACTTGCTGAAGGCCGCCGTTACTTTTCTCGCTAGCCCCTGGGGCGAGCTGCTTCTGCCTCCGTATGCGATATCCAACTCCCTGCAATGCCGAGGCGCATTGACGAAATGCTGACAAGATTATGTGAATAGCCAGTAATTGACCGACTTTTAAAACCACACCAGCTGCGGAATCGAAGCGCCAAATATGAATGGGCGCTGGACGACCGACCATTACCTGTATAATAGATGAACACGAATGTACGCTAGAGGGGTCACTTGGCATATCGTTGTGAAGGAAGAGAAATAGAATTGGTCTCAAGCATGGTGTGATGAATGGGAGAATTGTAAATGGGCGCAGTTCGTCTCGAGAACGGGATCAAACATGAATCAATACAAATATTTCGCCTTGAAGCCCATCTGTTGCGGACTTTGAAGTGATGGTCCTGATCGGCCAGCCGCCCTGCTCACACAGCTTGTGGAAAGCATGATTGTCAACCGCAGTCATACGACTCCTTCCCTACATACAGGGAGGGTCATGATCCATTCCGACACACCAGGAAGGCGTCTCTCAATACTCTGGAAACACTGACAACGAACCTAGGAAAACATTGCTTTGAACTAAATCCTAGACATCTTCGCACACTTCCAGTCTACTCTGCATCAGGCATGAACGGCATTCCTGGCAACAATGCCGATACTTTCTTTGTTGTCTGCGACACAAACTTTGACGACAGATATTTCCGAGCCCCAAGACGCTGACGCTATCGCAGCGCGCCAATTGAAGCGTCGAGTGGGAGCGGGTAGGGGCCTCGCTCATTTAGTCTCCAAGTTTGAGGGCCTGGAGAGCGTGTCGCGCCCAAGCAAACCGTTATCCTTGAGAGGGACAGCAAGAGCTCCAGTTACATTGTGTGCAACGAGCCTCTTCGAGCCACCTCCTGCTCCCTCGTCCATAACAACTTCGTCTTTATGTACTTCTGCGAGAAACGCACCCACAAGCCAAGACCTGGCATCTCAGGAATCAAGTGCATCAAACGACAAGGTCCAGTGTAGCTGGCAACCTGGGAGACCGGAGACTGTCGAAAAGGGCTCTTCAGTGGTTGCAGAGAGAAAAAAGATTTTTGAAGTGAACCTTGGTGCTACCAATCCCGGTTAGTAAGGTGCTGTCGAAGACACCGTTGATGAGGGTCGGATTTCTTGTGAGTAGTCTCAAGATGGGCAATAGCTGACAACACGCAGACAAGTCTCATTCAACAGGCTCGACCGACGGCCCAGCTCGCCAAGGTAGCAAACTACGCTTGCCAGCTAGATGGCAAACAGTCCGAGCTCGATCGCCGTTAGCATGCCTGGCCCAGAGTCAAGCTGCCGTCCTGTCCTGTCCGAAAAGAGCAAACGTGTCGAAACGACTATCTGGATATCTGCCACTATCATCCACCTATCCATCGCTTCCAAACGTGGAGAAAAGCGCAAAGCCACACCGCTTATCCGCCTGTGGTCTCCATCCCGCGGAAGAAAATAACCAATATAAAACAATTTCGTCAGTAATAGAAGCTTCTGGGCCATTGCAGGCCCCAAAGCCGACAGATATGCACCCTAGTCGTCTGACTCTGAATGCAAGCGAGAGCACCTCGACGGCCCAAGCAAGGCCTCCATCTCGGCCCGAAAGCCAGATAAGCCTCATACCCAAGGCCCGAGATGACAGGGCAGTGCCGCATATCGAATCGGCCCCCGGTAAGAGTGGCAGGGAAGAGGAGACAGATAAATTGCCTCTGTTTGTTGGGTTCCAACCAACGCCATCAGTCAGCAAGGCCAGGAGCAAGCTTCCACTTAGGCGGCATATAAAACGGAAATCGCCCGAATTCAAGCACGGACCCAGCCATTTGACATCTCCAGTGCTGTTACACAATGAAATGAGTGTCGAGGCTGCTGTGGCACAGTTAGAGGCAACTCCCAAACAACCTGCCTCTTCGGCCCCGTCACAAATTGAGAATAAAATAGGCCTTTTCGAATCGTTAATCGCCAAGGAAAAGACAAATGTAAAAAGCAAATATAGCATTCGATATAAAGCTCGGATCCCAGCATCGGTTTCTTGTCAGGTAGTCCACCAACCCAAGCCCGGGATAACTGAGGAGGTCAGGAGGAAGTCCTCCTCCTCCTGGGGACCAGCCCGGTGGCGACAGAGGCCCATCGGGCAGAATATAGAAACTGAGCACCATGCTGCTCTGGACGAGCCCAAATCGATCAGTCGAAAGGGTGAGGACCAGCGTGTGCCTAGCGATGGACCCATGGAAACGGTGCGTTCATCACTATCTGGCCACTGGGAGATCTGGACCGATAATATCAACAACCCTGAGAAAGAAAAGAAGTCTGACGGCTCGCTTCCAAGGGTTTCTAGTATTAATCACCCCGAATCGGACACACAGCAGCCACAGAACGATTCCGCGTCCGTTGGCAGCTATGCAGGGCAATGGGGACAGGGGCCCAAGAGCATGCAAGTTACGCAGACTGGCGAAAGGCGTCGAACCTGGAGGCTTTCGGGGCGACGGTGGACGTCTCGAAGCAACACTCCTTTTATTGCCCGTGTTAATTGTGCATTGGAGCAACCGCAACCAGTGCGAGTCAATGAGATGAAACGACTTGTCAGTCTCTGCCGGGAAAAGATGACTATGAGAAAAGACCGTGCGCAAACTGACTAGCGAAGAATTTGATTGCAAAACAGTAGGTTTGAGCCCAAAGTCAAACGCATGGAAAGATGTGTACAGAGAACAGGGTGTTTACATGTTACGGCATTGCCAAGACACATGCAGCATAGGACCTAATTTACACAAATATAGGAGATATCCATTGTATAAGCTAAATTGAAGTGAAATTCCGTATGCTGTCAACTATGCCAGTACGCGGACACAATCTCCTGCCCCCCCTTTCTGACACTTGATGATATAAACTAGGGCTTTTGGACCCCATCCAAGAATTCCAGGTCGGCGCAATATTAATCTCTAAGCAAAGCCTGTACTGTGGAGAAAATAAAAAGTCTAAGCTGGCAGATGTCCATCTGTATCTACCCAAACCGCCCCTTGTCAGGGGTAAGCGAAGTCAAAGAACCCCCTAGATTCTCGTTTCATTCTGCTCCAAATCGGTATCAATACGCACGCGGTCATTAGCCAGAGCGCCGGTAGAGTCAATCCTGCTCAGCTCCAGATCGAAGTGGTCCAGCTTTGAAGGCCTCGCGGACGGCGACTGGTGAAGGCTGCCCGAGCCGCAGGTGGTGCTGAGGCCCGAGAATCCCACCGCCGTCGAGGGCGGGGTCGGCTTTTCCCCGCCGCCGGACGGGCCGCTCGACTTGTGGTTGCTCGCGCCGGAAAGGTAGGCCAGGCTCCCGCCGGCGGTCATTTGCTGGGCGGCGAGCGTGCCGAGGGGGAGGATGATGGCGACCGAGGTCTGCGTGAGCGAGGCGGCTTCGAAGTTTGGAAAGTGGCCCCATTCGAGGGCGGCAAAGACGACTATTTAGGTTTGGTGTTAGTTTTTTGTTTTTACCAAGAGTAAATAAATAGTTCACTGTCGAGCTGCAGAAACAAGACGTACCTGGGATAATCATCAGCACGCCGTTTGTGACGACGAGCACCTCCATCGGGCTCAGGGTCTGCGAGGACCGCAGGATGCCCCTGTTGACGGCTAGGTGCAGCACGAGCTTGAGGTTGAAGAGCGCGCAGTACCAGCATATGGAGAGGGCGTTGAGGATCAGGGCCGCGCGCAAGACCCAGACCTGGTCGAGGGCCGGGGCGAGCTCGAGGTCGGACCGGCTCTGGACGACGGCGAAGGCGACGCGCCACCCGGTTGCGAGGAGGGAGACGACGGCCGAGGCGGCGCCGAGGCAGAGCTTGACGGGGCCCGGCCAGAGGGAGACCATGGTCCAGGCCTGGTGCATGAGGGCCGCCTGGAGGACGACGAAGAGCAGCAGGGAGGCGGCGTTGCCGGCGACGCTGCTGACCAGGAAGCGGCGCGGGACGGAGGCGTAGTCGCCCGCCCAGAACTGGTAGAAGTGGTTGAGGGGCGAGAGGAAGAAGGCGAGCAGCAGGGCCATGCGGACGATGCAGGCGGCGAGGCCGGCGAGGTGGAGGGCCGACGAGAGGCGGCGCAGCTTCGAGGGCGGCGTCATGACGAGCACCATGACGAGCAGCGTCGCGCACGACCCGAGCTGGAAGGCGTAGTTGATGGTCACGCTGATCGTCTCGTCGTTGTAGGCGTCGATGCTGGGGATCGGGATGGAGATGGGGCTCTGCGACGCCGAGAGGAACGTGACGGGCTGGAGGAGCGGGTTGAAGGCCATGTCGGCGGTGGTCGTGGTGTTCATGACGCCCAGTTTTTCGTTTTGGAGATGTTGAGAGGAGGAGTGTTGTATGTCGAGAGGCCCTTTTTGATGTCGTAGGTTTGAGCAGAGGCTATCAATGCTTGGACGTCGACAATGGAAGCTGCTCGGCTCTGGGATAATACCATGGTACAATCGCAACGAGGGCCCGTTGTACAATATCAACCGGTTTGAACGGGGGCTTCAAATACGGTTCACCCTGTCACACCGGCACCCGCCTTGCACTGACACGAAAGCATTTGCAGAAAAACAAACAAAAAGTAAAAATAAAAAAAAAAGTCATTATATCGCGTATGCTTTCCAAATTCAAGCGAGCCGCCCGCCGTCAAGACAAACAAGTTTCAACCGGGATATCTGGGTTCCCTTTTTCGTTTATGGGGTTACATTTTTCTGGCAGCTCGGGACGTGTACGCTTCCTCCCGCTGACGATGGCCGGGCCGGGTGGTGAATCCATGTATCCCCGTTGATATTGTTCTTTGGGGTTGTGGCGCTGGTGTAGTATTGTTCTTGAGACATTGTGGACCGGGGCGCCGGCGCCATGCAGGACCGGGAGGGGCGCAGGGACCGGACATTGGCGGCGGAATGGCTGCGAGGCGCGACTTGGTCCAGAGACGAGAGGAGCGCAGAGGCCGTTGTCAAGTCTGTATGGGAACATCTGCGCCTTCAAGTGCCGAGACTTGGGCGGACAGCTCGCTCGGCGTGTCACCGTGGAGAGTGCGGGCAAACAAATATGATATTGAGCCATGTTCGACGAACCATGTAAATCGGTAAGCAAAACGGGAATTTTCTTCTTCTTCTTCTCGCGCCGAGGCTACATTGTTTCATCTGATTCGCCGTGATCCCACTGTGGTTTTCCAAAGGCTTCACACTCCTTGCTAGACTATGCTGACGCCATGCCCATGCCTTGGCCAATCTTTCTCACCAATGCCTTCTTGAGGTACCATTCTCTTGCTAACGACCGTGTCATCTTTGCGAATACGGCCGGGGAAATCCGGCCCCGTTCAACAGCCCTGCCCAGCATGAAAATGGCGTCTCCGAGGGCCTTCTCCTCGGCCACCAAATTATACAGTTGATTAGACACGATTGTCGGAGCCACGAGGAGCTCGTCGATATCAGGCGCAGGGTGGCTTCTTGACCCATCAATAACCGCGTCTGCCTTCCGTAAAGCGTCGTGGAGAATGGTCGTGTTCGACGTAAGCACATTAGATAGCTGAGTGAGCTGGCTCGATTCGGATTGAATACCAGCCATGGCATTCTGCATGGCGCTTCGCTGCCCCTGAAGCCCTGCCATGGTGGAATCATTCTGTTGTCGAGACCGCTGTCGAATAACATACAGGGTCTGGGCAATTTGTCGCAAGAGGTTGTCCTTTTCGGGATTTGGTGGTATTGGGGGAGGCGCTACGGTCGTGGCTTCGGGAATGTCGAGAGTGAGTGGTTCATCAAGGATGTTTGGAGGGGGAGGAGCAGGTTGCTGTACTAGAGGCTGCTGAATATGTGGTGGCATTCCTACCCCAGGGGCTACAGCATATCCAGGTGGTGGTGGTCCTAGAGCTTGCCATTGTGGTGGAAGCTGGTGAGACGGCACTTGCTGTGCCGAATACGGCGGGTTTTGAGATGAGCTATGCGGTCCATGTGGAAGCCAATGTCCCGTAGGAGGTTGTGTATGCTGCTGCTGCTGCTGCTGCTGCTGCGAGAGTTGTTGGAACTGAGAGGAAGGTTGAGCATGTCGTACAACGGGCGGTGATGCTGGTGCTTGGGTGGGAAGCGGCGGTGCTGATTCATATCGGGATGGGACAGAGGACGTGCGCACGGTCGTATCTGACGAAGGAGAGGCTGGGTGGGTGGAGGTTTGGGGTGTTTGATCTTCCTTTGGCGGAGGCGGCGGCGGCGGACGGGAGCCGTTTGTCGAGCTCTGAAGTGTTTGCGGCGGTCGAGGTGCCATCTCCGGGGGCAGAGGGGGGACCGGAGGTGGTGCTTGAATAGGTGGTTGCTGCGGTTGTGGTTGAGTCGCTTGTCTGGATACAACCGGGGGCTCTTTGGCAAATATATCGGATAAAACTGACATGAAGTCGTGAATATTTGATTTCTGCAAGAGCCGTTAGCTTTGGGAGACGAATGCAAATGCTGACAGAAATCATTTGACCAACTCACATCCCAAAATTGTGCCCATCCCACCAGATATGGGTGGTACACCTGCCCCTGAGGGTCAACATGCTGCCCTGGACGAACCATCATGTTGTCGGTTGGCGTGACATAGACGAGCGGCGGCTCGCGAGGGTAAGCGTGAGGGACCCATATTGAAATCGGGAATCGATATGTATTTCCGCGAAAGTTGACGGGTATCGTGCCGGTGATATGGAGTAGAAGCGCGCTGGAGCCGTTGGAGAAGGCTAGAATGCTATTAGCGATTTGATAGTGTCTGGTCAAAGCTGAAGTGGCTCACTATGTACGTCGGTGCGCGGGGAGAGCGTGGGATACTGTGTCAACGCTTGGGCGACATCATGGTATGTGCGGTTGACGTCGTGATATTCCTATGGCGTTATATCAGAAGGATGAAGGATTGATCTGGACCCAGCTTGGGCAAGCATACACTGGTTAGAACGCTGTACAGCCAGTTGAGAACATGTTGCTGTACTGGCATTGTGGAGGAGAGGGCTGCACAAGAGAGCTGGAGAAGCCACAAGCTGGAGCTTGTTGGATGCCTCGATTTGCAGTGCTTAGCCTGTCTCCAAGGGGCTCAAGCTCAACCGTGCGAAGCGGTGGCCATTCGCATGGACTTGATGATTTTGCGACTGCCTTGAGGAGAGCAGGGCTTGGAGAGCAACACTCGATGACAGGTGATTCGGGAGGGGTTTATCTTTTTCAAAGTAGCGAGTTTGGGAATGGGTCAGCTTCTGGCGATGGCGGTGTCGAAGTCGCCGGAACAGCTGCTGTTTATCGCGCTTGTTGGGGTCTGGCGATGCGGTGGTAGAGGCTCAAGTGGTCCAGGTGAGGCAAGGTCAAGGTGAGGTGTGAGCTTTGAAGTGGGTTGACTGGTGGCGCCTCTTGGCGGGGAAACGGGGACGGGCATCCGATGGGAGCACAGGTTCCAAAGATTCGGGTTGTAACTAAGATGCTCAGCAAGGCCCTTGAGTGGGTAAATTGAAGCTGACCTCTCTTCTCATCCCCGTACTGCATAGTGGCATTTGCATCAGTTCATGATTCCCAACCAACTTGAGGACTCGAAGCGACCGGCTATCGGGTACCTTGCCTGTGGGTCCTAGTTGCAGGCTCGCGACTTGGAAGGATTGAATATGATTCGACCTGGAACAAGCCATCACTCACCCGAAAGGAACCAAGTTCATGGCAACAACTAGCATTGACCTACAGTTTGTGGATACAAGTATGACCACGTGGCGGCGTCGATTGACTTCAAAGGGGTCGAATCCTTAGAACCCTCCCTATGAAAGCCCGCCCTGACAAGTCGCACGTTTTGTGCAGGCTTCCCGTGCAACTATGGAACCTGATTCTCCGTACCTATGGCTCGAAATGCCGAGACAACTGGAGCAAAATGCAACTGAATAAGACCAGAAGGGTTTCCTTTTCAATCTTTGGTAGCCTATTAGAATACGATGTTGGCATATAAACGTCCCAGCTCCACTCCGAGTCAACCGAAACCCAATACTATTGTAACCAGGACGTCCGGCCTCGGCACGAGTCGTATGACCCAGACATTAATAATAAGCCACCCAGGTCCCCTACGACCGGGTCTTATCGATTGCGACTCTTTTTCCTTCAAACCCCTCCCCCGCGCAAACTTGACAAACTCTCATGCACTTGCATCACCGTGCTATTACTAATTAGACTCTCTGTTGACTCTGAAGTCTTTTTTTTTGTCGCCGTGCAACCGAGTTCAAGTTCTCGAAGCCAAGGCCGAGGCTGCGGCCAAAGTCAGGACAGAGACAGATACTCCGACTCCATCGGCCATAACCGGAATCGGGGCCACGACGAGGGCTTTTCCAGCCTCAACCAAAAACCTCGCCTGGCGAAATGCTGCCTCCTGTCCCCGTTCTCGCCGATTACGGCCTATCTCCCAGACATGGCTTCTTGCCCGAGACCCTTCCATTGACGCACCTACCCGATCCTTACTACAACAAGTGGGAGGCCATCGCGGCCAATCTGCAAGCCCTCGTCTTGTCCCGTCGCCTCCGCAGCGTCATCGACCACCTACCCGTCCTCTCTACCATAGGCCTCGAACACGAAGCAGAATGGCGCCGTGCGTATTCCCTGCTCTGCTTCATGGCCCACGCATACATCTGGGGGGGTGACGCGCCGGCCGACCGACTTCCCATGGCCATTTCTGTGCCCTTGCTCGAAATATCCGACCACCTCGAGGTTCCCCCCGTTGCGACCTACGCCGCCGTCTGCTTGTGGAATTTCAAGCCCGTCTTCATGGATGAAGACATTGACAACATGGAAAATCTGGCCACGCTGAATACATTTACCGGATCCATCGACGAGTCGTGGTTCTACCTCATCTCGGTGGCCATCGAGGCCCGCGGCGCCCCCATTCTCGACTTGATGCTCACGGCCATTGCCGCGGCAAGAAAGGACGACGCGAAGACGGTGACGCGGTGCCTCGTTGGCTTCGCCGAGCTGTTGACCGACCTGACGAACATCCTGGTTCGGATGCACGAGAGCTGCGACCCGACCGTCTTCTACCACCGCGTCCGCCCGTTCCTCGCGGGCAGCAAGAACATGGCCGAGGCGGGCCTGCCGCACGGCGTGCTGTACGACGAGGGCACCGGGGCGGAAAAGCACCGCCAGTACAGCGGCGGGAGCAACGCGCAGAGCAGCCTGATCCAGTTCTTCGACATCGTCCTCGGCATCCAGCACCTGCCGACCGGGGAGAGGCAGAACCCGGCCTCGTCCGAGTCGGAGCCCGAAGCCGGGGGCCGCCACGCCGCCCCCAGCAGGAACAACTTCATCCAGGAGATGCGGCGGTACATGCCGGGCCCGCACGCGCGCTTCCTCGCCGACGTCTCGCGGGTCGCCAACATCCGCGACTTTGTGCAGGCCAACAAGCCCAACCGGCAGCTGTGCCTCGCCTACGACGCCTGCCTCGCCATGCTGAGCGCCTTTCGAGACAAGCACATTGCCATTGTGACGCGGTACATCATCACGCCGTCGAGGGAGGCCCGCGCGCGCGGCCGCTCGCAGAGCAGGAAGCGCGTCAACCTCGCCGCCGCGTCGGCGTCGGCGGCCCAGGCAAAGAAGGGGCAGACGGGCACCGGCGGCACCGCGCTGATCCCCTTCCTCAAGCAGGCGAGGGACGAGACGGGCGAGCCGGCCGTCGAGGAGTGGACGCGCCGCTTCATGAAGAGGAAGCTCAAGGCCGAGTACCAGGCCGACGCTGTCTTTTCCAAGGCCGACAAGGGCGCTGTCGAGACGGACGTGGACGTCAAGGGGCTCGCGGGCTCGTGGACCATGGATGACGAGGGAGGGTTGGGGGCCTTGTCTCTACTCACTTCTAATGCGGGTGTTTTTTGTTTTGGTCTTTAAAAGAACGTAATCTTTTTATAACAGCATTAATGAATGGGTGGCAAGAGCATGCACGACTTCAACGAGTTAGACGCATATATATATACATAAGTACATATTGCATAGTATCGCTACTCAACGCAGCAATATATAGTATTTCGATATTTTCAACCACCGCGTGTGTGCATCTGCGGAGGATGCGAAGAACAGTCACTTGCTGAAACAGCAGGTCGCGTCACTCGTGGCTAGTAGAATGTACAAGTTTGTAAGACTGGGCGGTCTCGGGTTTACGAAACCCGCCCAGCAAGATAATTTAGGTACTAGGAAGTAGAATACGCCCGTGCCGCTACATATGTACCAGACACCAGACCAGTTGACAGCATCCACACATCATGTATGTGGCTCTGGATTGGTATTTCCGCTATGTATAGTAAAGACTAAAGAGTGGCCTGCCGTCAAGATCCGGCCCTCTCGCTATGTCCCGCCACGCATCTTCTTTATTTATGCGCGTCAATGTATTAAAAGCAGCATTATCGCTAGCGTGTATTAAAAGCTGCATCATCGCTAGCGTGCGTGAGCTCATGATCCCATAAACATGTTTGACCCCCCTGGCCTCAAGTGACCTTGCCATCCTCCACGTGCAGCACAACATCCGCGCTCTCCACATCTCCCGGCTGGTGCGAGATAGCAATGACGGTACAGTCGGCAAACACGTCGTCCATGACCTGCCGCATGACCCTCGCCGTCTCGGCGTCCATGGCGCTCGTGGCCTCGTCGACGAGCAGGATGCGCCCGCCGCCCTCGCGCTTGTGCAGGACGGCGCGCGCAATGGCGAGCAGCTGCTTCTGGCCGTGGGAGAAGCCCATGTCCGCCAAGGGGGCGTCGAGCCCGCCGTGGGCGTCGACGTGCTCTTTTAGCCTCACCCTGGCCAGGACCTCGTCGATGGCCGCGTCGCGCGTGTGGCTTGCGGCCGGCCGTGTCCCGGTCGTGGTGACGGGGAGCACGTTGTCGCGCAGCGTTCCGGGAAGTTCCACCATGTCTTGGGGGATGGTGGTGATGCGAGACCGCAGGTGCTGTCGCGGGATCTGGGACACGTCCACGCCGTCGATTTCTATGCGCCCCGTGTAGTTGAGGAAGTGGAGGATGGTGAGGAGGAGGGAGCTTTTCCCGCTACATCTGGCTGTCAGTTCGCTGTGTTTTGATACGTGTCGATTACATTATGGTTTGATGCGCAGGACATACCTCCCCGTTCGCCCGACAACGGCCACCTTTTGTCCGGGCTTAATGTCCAGCGACACGTTGTCGAGAGCCGTCGACGACGCGTCTGAGCTTTTCAGCGGCACCACGTTAGCCTCGCTACGAGTGATGGGCGTAAAACAATAAAGTCCTTACTTGTATGTGGCCGTCACGCCCACCATCTTGATGGCCCCTTGTTCCAGGTAGCCGGCGGGCAGCTCGGCGCCGCCACCGCCATCGTCGACGTCCTCGCTCGGCGTGGTCTCGGCAAACGACTTGATGCGCGCAATGGCGCCGAGAGACGTCTCGGTGTCGATCCACGTGTTGAGCAGCGTCAGGATGGAGTCGCCAAACTGGATCAGGGTGAGCAGCGAGAGCCCCATGGCGTTCTGCGACGTCGTGCCCCGGAAGCACAGCGCGACCGAGACGAGGATGGTGGCCACGCCGAGCACGCACAGCTCCGACACGAGGCCGAGCCACCGCTGGATGCAAAACATGTAGTAAAAGGGCTTTTGGGAGTCGTCGAGCAGCTGCCGGCTGCGGGAGAGGCACTGACTGTCCCACCCGAAGCTCCGGATGTGCATCAGGCCGGCGCTGATTTCGGAAAATTGCGTGTAGAGAGGCGTCTTGGCCTCCAGGTCAATGTATCGCATCTGTCGAGAGGTGCGGAGGTAAAAGTACTGAATGATGTAGACGCACATGAGGATGAAGGGTATGATGACGGAAATGTACGTGGCGCCGGCGGCGATGATGCCAATGTCTGTGATTAATAGGAAAAAGGCTGCAGGACAAGGTTAGATATATGCTTGTTCACGCGACGACGAGCACAAAGCGTACAATACAAGAGGCGAAAAAAAGCCAGCGGCAAGTCTTGGCTGATGAGGCTCATGTCCTGGCTGAATCTGCGCAGCATTAGAATACATTCGTCTGGCGATTGGGAAATTTCGGCCACTCTTACAGGTTGAGCAGCGATCCGTTGCTTGTAGACGAGAGAAACGACAATGTAGATCTAGCTCGACGTCAGCGCGGCCGCGATACAGACAGGGTTCCGTTGTACTCCGCACCCCATGACCTTGTCCAAGAGAACACGGTGTAGATTCTCGGCGCTATTCGGCACAATTTTCAGATAGTACAAGCTGCAGCCGTGTTAGTTGTCAAATACGGAACCGGGGCTGCAATTCCAAAGTCCTCTACCTCAACGTTATGCCGGCGGCTGTAAAGCTCGAAAATCCAAAGAGGATGTATCCGACAAGATAGACTTTATTCTCCGGCGCCACGTCCAGCCAGATTCGGAGAAAGATTTCTAACCAGACGCCTCGTATTAGTCCCGCCCGTCGCGCCCATTGCACATGTACGAAATCAATCAAAACTCACCGGGCAGCCGCTCTGCGACGGCGACAAAAATAACCGTCACGAGCCATATCGCCCAGAGCCATTTCGCCGTCGACTTGAGATAGAACGAGTAGAGGCGGAAATCGCCGTGTCGACGAATCAACAGCTCGTCGTTTGCGCTAGTACCTTCAAGGTCTTGCTTGCCAGCGTCGCGGGCCTCGTCCGCGGCTTCGCCCTCGTCGTCGACCTTTTCGCCCAGCGCGGGCGACAGCCACGCCGTCACGTCCTCCCGGCACTGCTCGGCGTCTCCAAGCCCGGCGAGGGACTTGACGGAGCCCCCGTCGCCAATGACCAGCATCTGGTCCGCCGACTTGATGTACTCGGCTTGGGAAAATAGTCAGCTTTGGGGTAGTGTGGTGAGCGTGGGATCAGAGCGGGCAATACCTGAGTGAATCGTCATGACGACCGTGCTGCCGAGCCGCCTCAACAGGCCGCCGGGGGCGAAGAGCCGAGCGAAGATGGCATCGGCCGTGCTGCGATCCAGGGCGCTCAGCACGTTGTCCAGCACGAGCAGAGAAGCCTGCGAGTAGACGGCCCGCGCAAGAGCCTAGCCAAGGGGGTCAGTTTATTAGACGGGGAAAAGGCCACACGGCATGTATGGATGGCGGGAAACGTACAATCCTCTGCTTCTGCCCACCGCTCAAGTTGGAGCCATTGTCTCCCGAGGGCGTCTGGTCGCCGCTGGGGAATTGCTGCATGTCGTCGGCGAGCAGACACGCCTCGACCACCGTCTTGTACCAGTCCTTATCGTACGCGTGGTCGCCGGTAATGTTTGCCCGGACGGGCACGTTTTTCAGCCACGGCGTCTGGTCGCAGTAGGCGACTTGGTGCCTCTCGACGTAGACGTGGCCGTCGGTGAGGTTCGCCTCGCCAATGATGGCCCTCAGAAACGTGGATTTGCCGCAGCCAGTGCGCCCCAGGACCACGGCAAGCTTGCCGCGCGAGACGGACACGTCGACGCTCCTGAGGAGAGGCTCCCTGCCTGCCGCGGCCGCCACGGACGCGTTGACAAACATGACGGACGTGGATGTCTGCGGCGCCCGCAGCTCCAGCGGGGGCTTGTCGACGGGCGAGATGGAGTGGTACGAGGCGTGCTTTTCCGACGGGTAGCCGTTGGAGAGGACGAGGTCGTTGATGCCGCGGCGGCGGTCCTGTCGCTCCTCGAGCAGGAGGTACGTCTGGATGCGCTGGAAGCAGCCCAGCGTCGAGACGAAGATGGGGTAGCACAGCATGGCGCGCGCCATGGACAGCGACGTGATGACGACAATGGCGAGCGCTGTAAACGTCTCCGAGGCCTTGAGGCCGCTGGAGAAGGTTGTCCAGAGGATCGCCGCAGTCATGACGATGGTTGGCGTGATCTGGTAGCATAGCATGACTGTGTACAGAGTCAGTGTTGCCGGCCGAGGCTGAGGGGGAGAAGGGAGAGAGAGCAAGGGCTCGAACCTGAGGCGCTCATGATGACTTCCAGAACGCGGAACCGTTTAGAGCATTGCATCTCCGTCTCTCGGAGGCCTTGGACGAGGTCGGCCACGACGGGGCGCAGGCCGATCATTTTGATGTTTTTGATTTGCTGCAGCACGCTCGAGGTGACGGAGACGCGGTTCTGGACTTGTTTATTCCAGGCGATGCGCGCGGGAGCCATGCGCCTGCCAATCTCGTACGTGGCGATTGTCGAAGCTGGACGGCTGTTAGTCGGGGAGTGTAACGGGACACCAGGAGTCAACAGCAGCACGTGTGGCTTACCGATTCCCGGAAACACGATGAGAAAGGACGCCTTGCCGACGATTGTCGTGATGAGGTAGATGCCCAGGCCGACCTCGACAATGCTCGCCAGGATGTCGTGGAATTTGCGAAGGCCGAGCGATATCCCCTCGACGTCGGTGCTCATCAGCGTCGCGGCGGCGAGTTCCCGCGCACTGCACTGGTCGATGGCGAGCGTCTTCTTGAATATCTCGGACACGAGGACGCCCCGGAGGAGCGTGACCAGCCGGTTGTTGAGGTGATTGTAGCTGGCGCTCGTAACCTAGTGCTGCCCGTGAGTTGCCTTGCTCCATGTCCGTTGCCGGGCAGGCGGGCGGGTGGTAGCCCGTGGGACAAGAAACGTACCGCCAGTCCAAAGTATATGAGCACCGTGGCGCCAATGAGGCCGTTCCGGACATTGGTGGACGGGTCGTCCTCGCCGAGGAAGCCGACGATGCGCCGCAGCAGCAGCGGCTGGCTAAAGGTAAAGGCCGTGTAAAGGAGCCGCGGGACGACGACGGCGAGAAACGGGCGGAGCAGCGTCACGAGGGCCGACTTGGCCAAGGCGTACGACGAATGCTTGTCTGGGCAGGTCAGCACACACACACACACACACACAGTTCGACACCACAGGTAAGGGGGAAAGCATACATTTCGCCCAGACGGGCTCGAAGCGGGCGGAGAGGTGGTCGGCGGAGAAGTCGTCGCCCAGGGAGCCCAGGTCGTCGATGCGCAGGACGGAGCGGAAGCCCAGCAGAAAGGTCGAGTTGAGCCACAGGAACAGCGAGCGGTTCCAGAAGCCGCTCGTGGCCTCCTTGCTCAGCGAGCGGCGCAGGGCCGGGTCCTTGATGTGCGTCCGCTTGGAGACCTCCTGCAGCAGCACCAGGGCCAGCTTGGCGGCGGCGGCGGCGGCGGCCAGGCCCCCGACGGCGTGGAGGCGCGCGCCCGGCCGGAGGAAGAGGGACCGGGCCTTGACGGCGTCGAGCAGCGCCGTCAGGCTGAGGTACAGGCTGATGAGGGCCGACGAGCGGAACGAGTGCCGGTGCTCGAGGCCGACGGCCGCCACGATGCACAGCGTGCCCACGCACACGAGGGACAGCGCCGCGAGCGAGGCGTCGGACCGGACGGCCGGGAGGCGGCTCCAGAGCCCGAGGCTGGCGATTTCGACGCCCAGGAGCACGGCCAGCACTGCCTGATGTGGTTCAATCTTGTGAGCTAGAGCATCTTGGCCCGGCCGGTTGGGCGCTGGAAGGGTGCGCCACCGTCCCTGTCCGCCATGTCAAGGTCAAGTCCACTTACAAGCTTGGCCCATAGCAGCAGACTGCTCGCCACGCAGACGGGCGATTTGGCGTAGCGCACAATGTAAAACGGCGACGCGACGATGCACAGGCTCGTCGGCAGGATCGTCAGCACCGCGTGCTCGAACAGCAGCGTGAAGTCAAAGTGCGACCCCAGCTGCGGCCCAAACGAGTCGTCGTCGCCGTCGGCGCCCATGGCCCTCGACACGAGGTCCATCCTGCATTCATGTGCTTGGTGGTCGGTGGTGCTGCTGCTGGTGGCCGGCTGGGGGCAGCGTCGCGGCGGCGGCCGGGCGAGCTGGGAAGGGAAGCCGGCGAAAAGTAATAATTAAAAAAAAAGAAAACAAGCAAGCGAACAAACAAACAAACACAATGCTGCACGAGGAAAACCGACAAAAGGACAAAGGGACGGAGAGAGGGATGGCGACTACATGTGTGGAATCTACAACCACATAGATATTTCCCCCCGGATCGGGAAGCGGGATTGCGCACACCCCCAACTAGGCAGGTGGACGGCTCGATGCCGGCGATTGAGGAGATGGAGAGGGTTCAGACTCGTTCAGACTCGTGCAGACTCGCCCCGGGCCCACCCTGGGCAGGTATCGACATGCACCTTGCCGGTTGGGGCCTGCCGTCTCGTTGCGAGGTAGCATTGCGGCTGGAGGACGCGAGGGCATGGACTGGGTTTACCGTCTGGTCGGCGAGGCAGGGTCACTTGGTGCCTCGGGGAGCCTCGGGGGGGGTTCACATGTACGGAGAATGTTCACAGAATGCACAGGGGGGCCATGATGCAGCGCTGCAGCGTGTGGGCCACGACGTCTCGTCTTCATTTCCGTCCAAATGCTCGTGCTAGTCCTAATCTCGCCAGGAGGCCATCGCATCAAGCGCGAGGCTGCATGTAGTCAAGTGTCAATCAAAATGTATGTATGTACATGTACTAGTAGTAGTAGTAGTAGTGTAAAAGTATGCGGCGGCGGCGTGTCGACTCAGACATCAATGTCCGGTGCGACCAAACTATTCCGCCACGCGCACGACCACGTCCTCGACGTCCTTCTTCTCCTTCTGGCGGTAGCGGAGAATGGCGCTGATGGCGTACGTCTTGTCGTCGGCGCTGCTCTCGGCGGCCACGTCGGCGGCTGTGCGGGTTAGAGTTGGAGGGACTCGACACGACAGCAGGTTGGGATGTAGATCATACCAGGTCGGGCAGAGACAACTGCGGCCCCAAGGAAGAGCAGTGCAGCGGGGATAAAGGTCGACGGGAAGAGCATGGTGACTTTGACGTTGCAGCGTGACGTGCGTCGGCTACGGGGGGTCTGTTTCTGACGGTGTAGAACGAGGCCGAGGATACGGGGAGGAAAAAGAAAGCAATGTGGGAGACGGAGGAGGCTGAATGATGGGCTTGGAGATCAAGGCCAGAGGACGGGCTTCTCTTATATTATTGTGAGCGACCACACTCGAGCAGCATGGCATCCATCGTACCAGTTGACGTCGGTACGACAGACGACGCACCGACTACTTCAAGTCTGGAAGGCCCCACTCAGCCACACCATTTCTGCCCATTTGTGAGCTTTTCAATGTTGGCGAGGGATTTGGGATCTAAAACTATGGAGTATAGGGGGGTCTCGGAGGTCTTGGAAGGTCTTGGGTCTTTGGGGGGGGGGCATCGCGTACGTTGATTTGGCTTTTCG